GGTGATACTAGCTGTTTTACTACAAAGAGTTTAGTTAAACATGAGTGGTTCCCTATTATTAAGGTACTACCATATTGGCCAATAATTTGTGTGGGTGAATTATCTGCAAAAACAGATTGATTTCCTGATATTTGTGTTAAAGTTAAGATTGTTCTCAGACAGAAAATTTAGAGAAATAAATGATAGGTCAGAGCCTGTGTCGATAAGGGCTTGTACAGGTATTCCATTAACTATTGCATTTATCAGACCTGATTTTTAATTTATTGAGGCTAAGATTATGGCCGTATGTGGGATATTATCTTGGCTGGTGTCATTATTGCACTCATAGTTGGTTGCTGCTCCCTTTATTGGTGTTTTATTTGGATGTTTTGGTTTTATGCTGTTGTTGTGATTTAGTTTGTTACTTAAGTAGACAGCTGCCCAGTGTCCTTTTTTTCCACAGTTATTGCAAGTTGAGTTTTGGGCATTGCATTGGGACCTGTTATTTCGTTGACCCCCACACCAAATTCAAGAGTGTTTTGTAGCCGCAAAGATAGGGTGTTGTGCAGGTAAGGAAAAAGTTTTAGTGTCTTTGATTACTAGTTCCATAATTGTTGCTGTAAATAAAAGTTTTTCTAGCAAGTCATTAGATGATTCTAAAAGGCGTTGACGAATCATTGGAGATAAAAGGCCAGCTACAAATGCATCACTTATTAACATTTTTTTATGTTCGTTTGCGGTTAGTGGTTTTATAGGGCATTTTCTTACTAAAGTTTGTAATTTTTCCATGAATTGGTCAACAAACTCTGATTCAAGTTGTTTTGTTGATCTTAGCTTGTGATGCATCATTAAAGGTGTAGTTTTTTTTGAAAATTTATTGTCTAAAATAGTTAATGCATCTTCAAAGTTCAATTGATTCTCAATGAGTGGGAAGGATTTAGCACCACATAAAACAAATAAAGCATCTAATTTATCTGTATCTAATACTTTAGCTTTTAAGATATATGTTTGTAGCATTCTAGATAAGTGCTAGATAAGTGGTTCCAATTTTTCAAAACTCTAGAAAACATTTTGACCTCTCCAACTATCCTGCGATTAGTCTTCATTCTGTTATTAGTTTCTCTATATAAAGGTTTTGAGGTTGAAACTATTTCTTTTTAACTGCAGTATTAAAGTTATTCTTGAGCCTACACTCTTCTTTATTTCAAGTAATTTTAAGGGTATCACAAGGTTCTATTTTTGCTCCTGTACTGTTTCTTATCTACAATAACAATGTTCATGAAAATTTTACATCTAAAGTGGGTCTATTTTTAATTGCTTAGAACAAGCAGCCAATTTTTAATCTGATCTCTTTTCTGTAACAGCCAAAGGCTTGCTGTGGCTTATGGATTTAAATTCTTGACTTAAAATTCACAACTTTTGTTAGACATAACTTGTGTTAGACATATTAATGTTGGAATTCCTATATTGATAAATAACTATCCTTTTACTCTCAGGCAAAGTATAAAAGCATATTGTAAATAAAGTTAAACCTGCTTTATCTGCCAGCTTGAGCCACTATCCCATTGTTGTAAGATTGCATTTCTTTCTTTTTTCTACAAATACTATCATAGTCAATGCTCAAATGAGCTAGCTCTATTACGATAAACCAAAATTCATTCTTATTTGACTTCTTTATCAACAAATTGCATCCTTTTACAGTATCTGTCCCTTCATGCTATAAAAACTTTCATAAATCCAGTTTTTTTCTTGCACATTAAAAAAAACCATAACTCTTGCCTATCTTGTTTTCCTTTTTTATACAATCTACAACTTTTTAAGTCTTCAGTTAACCCTTTCCTAGTAATTTAACTTATTCTCTATTTAAAGTAACTCATAACTTAATAGTTGTTGCTTACAATCATGTTGGAAGTAAATTAGAGTATAAAAACATATTTATATATGCAAATATTTAATAAATTGTGAATTTAAGCATAAAATTATAATATATAAAGCATTATAAATTTTTTTTTCTAGCCCTGACTATCAAACCCTGCTAAAGTTTATAATTTTGTATTGTTTAATATCATTAAACATTTAAAAATTGCATTTTTTAGAGTTATTAAAAATTGTTGATTTTAGCAACACCTTAGCAACAAAACAAAAACCATTATTTTACCCCTTCAGTCTATGTTAAAGTGGCTTCTTTTAAAACAAAGCAGTATATACGATTAAATTCAATTCCAGTATAGATTAAAAACCTGTTAATGCTAATTTATAAGACCTTGCAAGACAATCAATTACTATTGAAATGTCTCCTTGGTAAGATACATAATCTGAATGTGTTGTTGAATACCATCATATTGTTCAGAGTTCCAAAGAACAGGTTTATCAGTAGAGAAATAGTTGAAATAAGAACTCTATTTGCTTTATTATTTTAATGATGGGAGTAAATGTAATTTAAGCGTTTTAAGTTTAAACTGGATATATATAGCAGTTATAACATCTATTCAGTTTGACAAATCTTATTATTATATAGAAAGTTGATACAAAAGTGTATAAAGCAAAATAAAAAGTTAAAATCAGTAGCCATTGGGTTCATGATAAACAAGAATCAAATGAAACTAATCTTTCATATGTTTCTGGTGGACATTAGACAAGATTTTAATTTTAAAAAATCTTTAAATGAAATTTTTACAAATTTTGATTTTTGTAATATTAGGGTATCTTCGAATTTTTTACTTTACATTTAATCTTTTACTATTTATCTTTACATTAGCTAATGATTTTTGACTGAAATATTCAGGGTATATTCAGTATACTACAAAAGTTTGGTTAATAAATGGGATTTTAAAAATTCCTGTTCACTTTTTTTTAATCAGGAAATTAGTTCACATGTTAAGTCAAATCACTTATTCAGTGTTTCAAGCATATTTTTAATAATTTGTGATTAAATTTAAAATAGGACCTTAAATTTAAATTCCATCTGTTAACCGGAATAAAGCATGTATCAATCTACATAGTTTGAATGAGATGCATCAATCTATATAGTTTATGAGAAAACAAGAAAAAATTATATAATAGAAGATATTACATTGCAAAGTATATATATATATATATATATATATATATATATATATATATATATATATATATATATATATATATATATATATATATATATATATATATATATATATATATATATATATATATATATATATATAAGTATATATATATATATATATATATATATATATATATATATATATATATATATATATATATATATATATATATATATACATATATATATATATATATATATATATATATATATATATATATATATATATATATATATATATGTATATATATATATATATATATATAATTCATTCTTGACAAGGTTGCAAGCAACCGCTATTAAGTTGGGAACTACTAGAAAATAAAGAATAGAGTTAAATAGCAAGGAAACAGATGCTTCTGGAATCTAAATTGTTACTAACTCTTTCGGGTCTTAGTTTGCTATGTGTCAGTTTTATAAACTGCCTTGTCTATGTGGCACTAAACTTTCATAACTGTTCTTTTGACAGTTTAATGACATTGTTCTGCAATACCATTTCCCCATGGTATGTAGCCGCACCTAAAGCAAGGTTTTATGTTCCATTTATTTATAAATTGTGAAAACAAAGGTTTTTGGAATGCTGTCCATCAGAATTTTATCCAGATCTTCAGGTTTAAAAAATATAGAGTTTAATTCTCGAATAACATATGCACTGGTTTGATCTTTAAGATGGCACTTTATTGCATACCATATAAGTACACATAGGTCGACAGTTGATTAGGGTAAGACAGGCCCCTCATAATGAGTTATATCCATACTAGCATCAGCTAAGTTAAATTCTGAGTCACAAGCTTGATATTCACTTTAAGTAAATTTAAATATTCTTCCAATATATTTGCAATAGTCTAAAGTCTTTTTTTTATCAACATTTTGTTTGAAGCTTTTGTCATCAATCTAGATTTTCCAGTTAGTGCATTGGTAACATATACTTTTTGATCATGTAATTTAGCATTTTTCAATATACTTGCATTTTATTTTTCATCCTATGTTTTTGTCAGGGTGTTTGCTTTGCACACGCTAACCACCAGCTTACAAATATAGGCCATACATTTCCGAATAGTCAAGTATAAGAAGAACAGGTTTCTATTCTACTCAAATATATATTCACAAAAACATCATCAATGTATGATGACGTTCTCTTCTAGATTTTTTTGTCTTGTGATAAAACATTGTTCAATACTGGTTTTGTGACTAAAAAATTATGCCACTTTTGCATTAATAAATAGTTATCTTTAATAATGAGTCCAATCTTTTTAACCATAACTGTAGTTCTTATTGTAAGAAATCTTCAAGTACTAATTTCAAAGTATTTATATTTTGCTTCATATTCCAGAATCCCACAGTCATCATCTTTTTTTCTTCTGTTTTTTTTGTTTGTTTTCATTATCTTTACTTTTAAGAAAATTATATATTCCAAATACTCAGTTTTGAAAAACAGTTGATTTTATCTTAATAAATACATTAAAAAAAAAAAGTTGCATTATTTGTAACTTTATTTTTTTCATTAATTTAAATTTGATGTTCTAATAAAAATTAATGTTTTTATATATTTTTTTTGTTTTTCTTAAAAATATTGTATAAAAATAAATGTTCTATTTCAAAAAGCTCTATATACATATTTGAATTTAAAAGAGTACACAAATATATAATAAAAAAACAGCCCTAAATCAAACCAATCTGTTGATGTATGTACATTTTATTGCAAAGTTCCCTATTGTCAGTTAATGCATGTATTTTTTTGTTTGCATTAAAGTTGCTTAGGCAGAAAAATCAAAGGTAATAATTGTATTTGGGCTTATGATTACAAGGAACAAAAGTTTACAAGGTCATAAAAATGTCCTTGTAAATACAAATATCCTTGCGCCTGAACATATGAACAATTACCAGGAAATATCATGATCATGAATTTATTTAAATGTTATATTAAACGTAAGTTTTTTATATAGAACAAAACATAAAGTGAATATTTTATGAATGATTCCCTTGCAATATCAATCATGATCATAACCAGTTGGGCTATGTGTAGATGGTTGATTTAAATTATGGACCGTAGATCTGTTATAATAGTTCAAGATAATGTTAAGGTTTGATTAAAATCATGAATTTTTTATTTATTATAATTTGATAAGAAATTATAAAATGTTAATCATATTTTGTTATTATTCAGAGTAAAATTCCATTCCTTGAAGTAGATTTGTCTCCAAGTCCACCAAAGCGAACAAAGCATACTGGTATATTGTTGTTATTAGTGTTAAATGAGTTTTTTATTTTTTGTTAACAATCTGATCATTTTAGTAATTTACTTTATTAAAACAATGAAATATTTTAAACTAAAAATAAAAACTAGTATTCAATATTTAATTTAAAATAAAATAATCTACTTTGACCAAACTTTCAATACCATCTCATAAGTTTGGTCGCTATATATGTACTAATAACGTATCACAAACTTAACATCAAATAATGAAAACTAATTTTTAAATATTGTTTTATTGTAAAATTCAGGTAATGATATAAATTCAGGTATTACCAGTAACCAGGCCTTGCGATAAAGTGTCGGGCGATGTGAATTTTACGTCGTCCAAGAGCGATTTTGCGTGTAGCTAGGGCTATTTACGTCGAGAAAAAAATTTTTTGTTTGAGTATATTTAAAGATATTTTTGAGCGGAATTTTAATGAAGTAGTTTACAATTATTTTAACATTTAATAAAGTATTTTAAAACCACATGCAGTTGATATAAAAGTTTGAATTACAAAAAAATTAAATATGCTCATTATTTACAAGTAGAAAAAATTCAGATTAAAAAAAAAGTTTAAATCTTTTTAAGCTAACATTTTAATAAAATTATTTAGCAATAGCAAAGTTGTCGATAAAATTGAACAAAAATACTTTCGTTTAGTTTTAGATTTTTAACTTAAATAATTATTTTACGGGGGTTTGTTAGGTTTAAAAATTATGCCATAGATTTGAAAATATTTATTAACTGTTTGATGTATTTAAAGTATTTAAGAGTAATTTCGAGGAAATATTTTAAAAATTGGTAAGCGCAAATAAAAATATTTTATTTGCACAAAGATTTTTATTCTAACATTTTATTTTATTTTACTAGAAATAAAATTCCTTGTAAACATTAAAAATCTATTCAAAACAGTCGTTAAAGTTTTTTAGTAATACGAGTGATTGTGCTTATCAACCGCTTTATGAAAATAAATAAAAATAAATAAATAAAAAATTATTAAATAAAATCGCTGGTAAAAATATTAGCTACTGCACAGTTTTTAATCGAACAATATTAAAATTTCGAGTTTATTACTCTCTGACTTTTTAAAAAGAAAAATTAATTATTTGAAAAACTTTAAATTACATATTTGGGAAGAAAAAAAATCAACTATTAGCATTTATAATCTTTTTTAAATGTTTAGTTATAATGTTTTTTATTGGTTTAGTATAGACAAAACGTGTCAAACGTCGAGAAAATAAACAAATGTTTTTACATTTTAAAAAACGAAATATTCCAAAACATTTTAAAATAATAACATTTCTATATAAATGATTTAAAGTAGTTTTGCGGTAATTAAGTAAATTGGTGCAGTTAATGTCGATAAATATGAAAAGCAAATAAAAAGAATTTAATGACGCCAAAAATCACATCGTGCTTATGCGTCGCGCAGTTTTTATTCATCACAAGGTCTGAGTAACTATGGAGGGCATCCCCCGGGCTCCAAAAAATAAAGTCTTTTGGGGCACCAAAGAAAACAAGATAGAGCACATAAAAAAGGCCTTTTTAAATTTAAGTAGTACTTTTAATTTTATTGTAATTAGTCATATATTTTATTAGTTTGGCTATTATCACATTTGCTACGCCACTGTTTAAAATTAAAAATATATTTTTGAACTAATTTAAAAAAGTTTTTTCAATTAATAAAAAAACACTACTTTGCTTTAAATGAGCTTTGTATGTTTATTGACAATTTTTGCATGTATTGTTGACCATAGTAGAACAGCAATATCCGCACAACAGGATTTGCAATGCATCCATAATTGTCGTTGAGCTGTAATTTTATCTCCAAAAAAAATGTCACAGGCTTGACATTTTCTAGAACTCAAAGAATCATCAGTTAATTTTGAAATTATGATCAAATTTTTTATTCAGATAAAATACCATGGTGTGTATCCATTATAAAAATGTCAAAATTTACTGGTAAATTTTACATTCATAACACTTATCAACATTTCACAATATTACGGCTAATTGTCTCCTTCGTTGTTTATCTGTGAATGACCAAAGTTAAAGTATTTCAAAATATCACTAATTTTTATTAAAATAGTAGTTAATTTTCAAAAATTAATCTTTTGTAAATATAATTTGGTGATTATCAATAATATTAAGATTAAATTTGATCATTTATTTTGATAATTTGCTTATTTTAAATTTTAATAGTATGCATTTTTTCAATTTGTTATTTTGCTAAAGAATTATTTCAGCAGGTTGCATATAAACATTATTATCTTTTTTATAGATTCATATTTACAAACTAATCACAAATATTATTTGAGAATAAAAGTTAGTAAAATTTAAGTTTCGCATTTTATATTTTTTCCTAAATGACCAAAGTTACATGGTGACCAAACTTAGTAGATTTTACAGTACATTTTTTTTGATTTTTCATGAATAAAGAAGTAAATTAAAATGGAATTATAGTTTTTATTGAATAATAACTGATTTATTGAAAAAATATTTTTAATAAATAAGTGATTGTATTGATAAAGTATTTAAAAAATACAAAATAATTTAACATATTTTATTGTTAGGGATATCTGTCGGTTAAAAGTAAGTAGTTAAAATGTAATAGTGGTTAAAAACTTCTAATCTAATTTAACTAATCTTAATAATTCTAATCTAAATTAACAAAATTCTAATCGTATCTTGAGATTAGCAATTTACTCCTAATTGACAAACTTCTAACATCTTATCTTGAGATTAGCAATTTATTCCTAATGGAAAAGCTTCTAACATCTTATCTTAAGATGAGCATTTTACTCTTGGGTGATCAATGCAGATTTTGATTTTCTTATTTTACTGCAGGCTTGTTAGCCATTATAACAGAAATATTCTATTGTGAATGGAAGTGGTGAAACTAGGGTTATAGCTCTTATTATATCAAAGGCTTTCAGTTGGCAGGCCTTGTTTTAAATAAAGAATACATAATGTATTAGCTTAATGTGAATTTGATGTTATAAAGTTGTCTTTATTAATTTTTTTTTTTAATGACATCATCTTTTTTAAACTACTGCAATATAATAAATTATTGCAAAACAAGTTTAATTGAGAAATTAACTAAATTAACAAAAACAGTTAGGAAATGTTATGTAAATGCAATATGGAATGTTTTTTTTTTTAATATTAAATAACAAAATTCAATATTATATTCTTATTCATATTAAATATAAACTTTAACCGTGGTTTTCAGTTTTTCTTGTTAAATTATAAAAGTTATCTTGCGTTGTTTGTTAAGAAAGTTATTTAAATAAAGTGTTCTGGCATTTTGTTTATATTTCGAAATAAAACTTATGACTTATTTTTATTGTAAAATTTTTTTAAGAAAACTAAAGGTTTTCTTAATTGAAGGTTGACTTATTTTTATTGTAAAATTTTTTTAAGAAAACTTAAGGTTTCATCAGATAATCGTTATCTGATTTTTGTGCAGAAATTAATGCAGCTCGCAAAATGCGTTCAACATCTCTTGATTTGGACATCTCTTTTTTAAATTTGAATACAAAAAAGATGTGATTTCTGTATTCATAGCAAATACTTTTGCAAGCATGAATTCAAGCACAGTACCTGCTGTCAATAACTTAGCATCTTCTCTGCTAAGGAATTCCACCGCTAGTTTTGCTGGCTCTAAAGTGGCATGTAATGAAGCTAATGACTCAAAATCTAACTTGTTGATTACATCAAAAGCAGTAAATTTTTAGAATAAACATTTCTTCGTTTTTAACGAAGGCGCAGTCATTGAAAAAGTGAATTACAACGATGACAAATATTTAGATACAGTTCAATTTCTTTACTAAATTCCTAAGGAAATTCAAAATTTGATTATAAATTGATGAATTTCACTACTTTTCGTGCATTCATCAAAATTTCAGGGTAGTCAACATTAATCTTATTGTTTACTGATTCAAAACTAAAATTATCATCATAAAATCCATGTTCATCCTCTTCTAAATTACCATCTGTTTCCTTGGGAATTAGTACATTAGTGTCTTTATTTTTTTTTGCATAATGTGTCGCATACACCAAAATGAATTGCATGATTAAAGCAAAACTGATCAACAATGTTTATTAATTGCATGAGTTTCTTATGGATTGCTGCACCATCTTGAGTAGATCCTAATGAGGCCAGTTCTATATGTTTTCTTACATTGGCTTTGACACCAATGTACCTTCTGTGCCTCATAGATGTGTATTCATCATGTGTAAAGTTGAATTTATGTGCCATTTGAATTTTTTCGATAATTTCTTTTTTCATCACTTCTTTTTTATCAGAAAAATCTTGATGGACTAAATTTATCACAGCTGTGGGATTTTAGGAAGATGATTTCCTCCTCATCTGAGATGACCACTATTAAGTAGCCTCCACAGATGAGGAGGCTACTTAATAGTGGTTATTACTATCTCTCAACTCTATAACTCCGAAACACGAGCCTTGACAAACAAGGCCACTGCGCGGAGAAACAAGTTGATCATAGTACTACCAGGGACGTATTGGGGAACAAACTTAGAACCTCTCCCTTATGAAGCGAGCGTTTTACCACCACACCACTACCGTATGAATTGATGAGCGAATAAATTTTTCGTTAGTTATCATATTAATCAAAACACCATCTGTAGCTGGGTCAGCTACAATTTCTTTAAGGCTCGTTTTTTGTAAATAACCGTCCATGGTTTAATTTTTTTTTTTTCGGTGGTGGATTTGAGCTACTACTTGATTTTTCAGTCTAAGGACTATTGGTAGTAATTTTATGATACAAAGTATGATTCTGCAAAATAGTTGGAGATCTACCAGAGCATGTTACAACAGAACCACATCTATTATAGATGCCTTCGACATCTCTTGAATTTGGAATTTTATGCCTGGCAACAAATTTCCAAACTGATGACATGATTTATATGGAAGATAAAAATATTTTCCAAAAATTAGATAATTGATTGAAACATTATCGTGAATTATTTTTATTACACTCCTATACGTTAATATTTTATTAAACTTTAATATAAAGAATAGGCCATCCTATTTGAGTATTCAAATACTTTATATTCAAATATATTTGCGTGTTTTATTCAATTTAAACATGTTTTTTGGAATACTTAGAATAATTTTGAATACTTAAAATGTTTGGAATAATTTTGAAAATGAAAAGACATGTTAAGCTTTCCAGCAAAGTATTATCTAAATAATGAAATAAAAATTCAATTACTTGCAAATTTGATTTTTTATGCCTTTCTATAATGAATAAACATTCAAAAGACATTATAGAAAAAAACCGCCAAAACTGAAAACTGACAGTATTTATTTATATCGGTTTTGACAAAAAACCACATTTTTCGGTTATCGGTTAAAACCAATTGAAAACCCTAATTGAAAATGAGCAATTTTTTAAAATAAAAATCAACAGTTTGTTTTGAGAAGATTATCAGACTCAGATCATTCACAATACTGTGCATCAACAACTACGACCTTCTCCCATATTTCAAGTAGCACACAGATTCCACTCTAGAAAAAGTCTTGTTCTGGAAAGTCTTGGTATGAAAAGAAGGAAAGCCAAAAAAGATTTGCTAATAAAAATAAGCTTAATTTTTAAGAAAAAATAAAATTTAGTTATTGAACAATATTTATTTGAATAATATATTTTTTTTTAATAAAGTTGATTTAGAAATTAATTTGTTTTTAATTTTATTTGAATTTATTTCATTGGCAAATAGTGCTTATATTAAACATAATTTTCATTCAAACTTTTGTAACCAATTTTTTAATATAATTGTCATTCAATTGTTTAAGCAGTTTTAATAACATAAATTACTTTTTTTATCTTATTGCTTAAAAGACATCTTGTGATAGTGATTATAAATAAAAATTTTAAAATTTTATTATATTGAAAATTATAAAAATTTTAAAATTATATTATATTGAAAATTATAAAAAGGTGAATTTAAATAAAAATTATAAAAATTTGCTTAACGGGAATTGTTTTATGTGTGCATAAAATGCGTGCTGCTTAACACTTTAAAACAAGGCCTGACACCTCCATCTTGTTCACACATGAGAACTTTTTATTTATTACATTTAATAAGTCTGCAGTAGAACAAGTTGTAATTAAAAAAAAAAAAAATTGATTGCTAGAGAGTTTTTGCTGAGTTTTTGAACTGTGATATTAGAAGTTCAACTTTAAAATCTTGCTAATAAAAGTAAGAAGACTGGGGATAGGAAGGCTGGGCAGTAGTTAAAGGGGTTAGAACATCTAGAGTTTTTAAATTTGGACTTTATTATATCAACATTAATTTTCATGTTTCTAGGTCATTTAAAGTCCACAATCCAGCGTCCTTTTAAAAAAGATTTAGCAGAAGAAGGTGAAATTCTTTCGAGTCCAGAACCAACTGAAGCTGAAGTGGTTATCAATCCCATAATGAGTAGTCCAGAGGATATTTTTGCAAGTTAGAAATTTTTTATTTAGTGGTGTGGTAAGGTCAATTGTATATTGTTTTTTTGTATAATTATGTGCAAAAAATCTCTTTAACAGTCTGTTTAACAGGGATTGATATTATATAAACAATATATGCAATATATTTAATAAATATTCAAATGAAAAATATATGCAACATATTTAATAAATATTCAAATGAAAAAATACAATATTCAAATTTTCATGCCTGGCGGCAATCATCAGACATATTTTTAAATCAAGAATTAAAAAACATGTTGCTTATGTTTTTTCAGGCTTGGCCAGAAAGGCGTGCGATTTCAAGTCTTTATATGACCACACTAATATTTTGTTTTGATGATTTCACCTTTGTTTTTAACAAATGCGCTGAAAAAATTGTTTTTTAATTACATTGAAAATAAATTACACAATCCTTAGATGTAAGTTGTTACTTTATTTAAAAAGCTTTTTGCATAATATTAATTTGTAAAAACATTAGTAAAAATAAGCGGTTCAAAGTTGTTTATTCCAAACGTAATGTAGATAATCTTATGGTTTTAGTTTTTTTTAATTTAGTATTAATAAGTTATTTTTATTTTATTTTTCGTTATTTTTTTTACAAAGATTTATTTGCTTCTTCTACGATAAGTTTTTTTTTAAGCTTCTTTATAGTTAAGATGATTTTTTTAAAGCGTTTTAAAAAAGTATATAAACTTTCAAAACATATTAACAGCTGTGGTCAAGTTTATTTGGGTGGTCATATTATGACGTGAAATCACACGCCTTCCTGGCCAAGCCTGTTTTTTTTAATTCCTTAATTTGAAAATTAAATTTAGAAATTAGTTCTAATTAGTGATTATTTCAAATTTTTCTTGCAAATATAGCATTCATATTTTGTAAAACATTATAGGCCGGAGTAGTTTTTAGAGGAGATCAACTTAATCCAAAATTAATGTTGTTTTAAGATCCTAACTAAATTTTGATAGCATGGTATCTTTTGAGTATTTTTTGTATTTAAAAGACAGTTTGCAAACCTTCCCAAGAAGTGTATATGGTCGCACGCCTTGTTTGTCCACGTTTAAAGTAAAATTTTTAGAAACACTGACCACTGTAGTTTGCATCTTCTAACATAACATCTAACATCTTCATCATCTAACATATAAAGCAAAAAAGATAAACTTATCTACTGAAAAAAAAAAAAAAAAAACAATAGAAAAAAAAATTGTAACGAAATAACAAATTTTAATTAAATAAACAAGAAAAGTTTAATAATTATATAAAAAAAATTAAAATTAAAAAAATTTTTATAGAGTATTTATACAACTTTTGTATTTTTTTTAGGCTGGTTGTTATTTTTAGCTACCAAATTTAATACAAGCTGAGGAAAAAAAATAAACTGTATAATCATTAATAATAAACTGTATCAGTATTGATAATAAAAATAAACTGTATAATCATGTGAAACAAGCTTATGGTGAAGGCTAACATGCCAAATTTTTTCAAAAGCCCTAGATATGTCAAGAGCAATAGCCCTAGCCTCCCTGCCTCCATCTAATGCACAATAAAATCTTTCAGTCACAGCAGTTAACAAGTTAGCCGTAGAGTGAGAGGATCGAAAACCTTATTGATTGATTTACAGCAAGTTATTTTTTAGTTATTTGACTCCAGATTTATTTTTTTTTTTAATTTGCATTCACTCCCAACAAGGCTGCAAGCAACCACTATTAAGTTGGGAGTTACTAGGAAAAAAAAAAGAACAGAGTTATAGAGCAAGGAAACGGTTGACAGAAGACTTGAAAAGTTGAAGGTTGTATGAGTAAGGAAAATATGAAGATGGGAAAGAGTTCCAAAGGATTGAAGTGCGGGGAAAAAAAATAGATGAATAAAAGTTTTTAGAGCATGCAGGGACAGATACAGTAAACGAATGAGACTTAGCTGAATGACGAGTAAAACGAGAATGAATTTTAGTTGATGGAACTAGAGATGATAACTCCTTTGAGCAGTGACCATGATAGTATCTGTAGAAAAGAGAAAGAGATGCAACTTTATGACGATGGGAAAGAGGTTCAAGCTTAGCAGATAGTCCAGGTCCAACAACATTTACAATGCGTTTTTGGACCTTGTCAAGAAGAGAAAATGAATCGTTAGAAGAACCAGCCCAAATATGACAACAGTATTCCATACAGGGACGAATAAGAGATTTGTAGAGGTAGAGAATGGAATCAGAAGTAAGGAAATGGCGAGCACGATAAAGAGAAGCAACCTTAGCAGAAGCTAATTTAGCAATCAATTGTATATATGGTTTCCATGAAAGGTCAGTAGTAAGCGATAATCCAAGAAGACTTAAAGAGGAGGACTCAGTAAGAGGATTGCCATTCATTAATATAGGAATGTTGACCATATTACGGTAGTTGTTTGCAGTAAGCAATTGGGTTTTTTTAGAGTTGAAATTCACAAGCCACTGTGAACCCCAATCTATTACTGAAGTGAGATCAGATTCAAGATCAGCTGCTTGTTATAGGCGATCGAAAAGAGAAGACTTTTTGTCAAGACAGGAGTATAAAGTTGAGTAATCAGCTAAAAGAGCTACTTTAGATAAAAGGTTGTCAGGAAGATTGTTTATGTAGATAAGAAACAAAACAGGGCCCAGGATGGAACCTTATGGAAACCCAGAAGTTACTGGAAATAAAGAAGAGTGTTGGCCTTCAAGGATGACTTTAATAAACCGGTTAGAAAAAAATGATTTGATAATCTCAAAAACTTTCCCAGAAACACCATATGAAGCAAGCTTATGGAGAAGACCAGCATGCCAAACTTTGTCGAAAGCTTTAGATATGTCGAGAGTAATAGCCCTAGCCTCACCGCCTCCATCTAATGCACGATAAAATCTTTCAGTTACAGCAGTTAGCAAGTCGGCCCTAGAGCGAGAGGATCGAAAACCGTATTGATTGTCTGACAGCAGTTTATTTGACTCAAGATGAGATGTGAGGAATTTGTTGATCAAAGACTCAAAGACCTTGCTAATAACAGAAATAAGACTGATCGGACGATAATTGGAGGGGTCAGAATTTTCTCCAGAGTTTTTGAATATTTGAACCACAGATGCCATTTTCCAACAAGCAGGAAAACAAGACTCAGTCAAACACTTGTTAAATAGTTTAGAGAGAATTGAAGAAAGTTCTGGAGAACAATTCTGCAAGACTGTGACAGGAATGTTGTCTGGACCACAAGCTGTAGACGAGTTTAATTGAGATATGACTTTAGCAACAGAAGCCGGAGTGATTTGAATGTCTAACAATGGGTCAACCTGTTTGACTGAAATGGAAGGAAGAGAATGTCCATAAGATTCAAGAGTGGAATTAGAAGAAAAGTTCTTTGCAAATAGTTCTGCCTTATCCTTGGGAGAGGTAATAAGATCAGTCCCATGAATGAGAGATGGAATGTTAGATCTACCCTTGTTAACAATGCTGTTGAAGATTTTCCAAAAGTCTTTAGAGCTTAACTTCTGCGATAAGAAGCGAAATTTAGTGAACTGAGAATAATGGAGTTTAGCATCAGAAAGCACCTTTTTACATCGATTTCTTGCAATAATAAATAACCGTTTGTTCTCAAGAGAGTTGTTCTTTTGAAAAAGATGAAAAAAATGATTACGATTGGATATAGCAGCTGCACAAGAAGGAGAAAACCATGGAGTAGAATGAGGCTTGACTTGAAACCAACAAGAAGGAATAAAAGCTTCCTTTCCAGCCTGAATCCAGGAGGTTAGGTAGGAGGCGCATTTGTCAGCTGAGAGAGAAAAGACATCAGCCCAAGGACCATCACGAAGAAAATTACGAAAGGAATCCCAGTCAGCTTGAGGGTAGTAGTAGGTGGTGCGATGATAAGGTGAGCCCAAAAAAGAAGTACGAGAAGAAAAATTTATAGAGATCATTGCATGGTCAGAACCACCTAAGGGAGAAAAGGGAGAAACTGAACATAAGCTAGGGTCAGAGACAAGAGTCAGGGTCAAAGTCAAGGAGTGAAGGTAAATGATTAGGGTTGTCAGGAAAACAAGTCACAAAGTTAACTATCTGAGTAAGAGATTGAGAAACGCAGAAGTTAAAGGCTTTAGTGCCAGCAGGATCAGTGGTGTTAGAGCCAAGCCATTCAGTGTGATGGGCATTAAAATCACCAACAACAACAATATTGGCAGAGGGGTAAAGAGAGAGGGCATGGTCAATTTGATCAGAGATAACATCTAAAAGAGTGCAATCATGGGAAGAAGGAGAACGATAAAGAACAAAGAGAAAGGTGATAGAGTGAAGAGGTGCTAGGCGAAAGCACATAAAAGAATGATTAAAGGATTCGAACCTGACAAATAGGGGAATTAATGCGTATAAAAATTTTCACGACAAATAGGGGAATTAATGCGTATGTATACCCCTAAACCTAGCATGTGACTATTGGAGTCTTTACGAAGCAAAGGATAGTACCCATCAACACTGATATCTGAAGAAGGAATTGCAGAACTTAAATTTGTTTCACTGAGTGCAAGCAAGTCTGGTGAATTTTGCAGGAGGTAAGACTCAACTGATGGAAAGTTGCTTCATAGACCGCGAATATTTGTTAAAGATATATTAAAATATTTAGGTGGTGGGGATGGTTTTTTAAATTTTTGGTTACTTTGGTCATGATTTGGGTTTAATGAGATGTATGCAGTTGTCTCAGTCCTGTTAATTAAGCCGTGACATAGGGCTCCTTATGTGGCCTTGACAATGCACACCAAAAGCATTAACAGGGACACCATCCATGCGCAACATGGCACTATTAATACTCTGATATTAATACTCTGAGAGCTACCACAGAGTTCGGGAAACCTTACTACAAGCCGGCCTCAGAACCATTAAACTGAGTTTTAGAGCTGTACCCTCATATGGAGATAACAGGAAGAGTTGCATAGCCATTATCAAGGAGGCATAAGCAAAATTCTATGAGTAGAGTCAAGGAGATTTAGCATTCATCATCCTAGGCAGGAAACAATGTAACACAGGTTACATCTACGCCAGCCTAATAGACGAAGAAGGGGTTCGAGGCTGGTTAGAAGAATTTTTCTGCTTACCCCTAATGTCTTTGACGAGCATAAGACGAGCACACTCTGCAAGGCAGCAGGGCTTGTGGCAGGTGGTACTGGGTTACGTGATACCAGTAGCAAGATTGATCTCGATTATCCTGACCTGACCTGGAGTAGTTAAAAGGAGTTACTTCCTGCAATAGTATTTTGAGAAAACCAGGCATGACATTTTGGAAGTGCATTAGGAAAAACACTGCATCTAACAAAATACAGGAGTCTAAGGTGAGTGTACGTTTTGTAGTTGGAGTAAGTAGTTTTGAGCTCACGCTGCATTAGAGTATAAACAGAACACAAACAAACATAAATCAACTTACGGGTGAGTCAACACCGCGCCAGAGGTTCAGACAGAACACAAACATACATAAAAAAACATAAAGATGGGATGTGAAAAGTTTGTTTATAAAAGAAAAAGAGTTTAATCGAGATATGACTTTAGCAATGGAAGCTGGAGTAATTTGAATGTCTAACAATGGGTTAACCTGTTTAATTGGAATTGAAGGAAGAGACGGCCATAAGATTTGAGAGTTGAATTAGAAGATAAGTTCTTGACAAATAGTTCAGCCTTAACCTTGGTAATAAAATCAGTGCCATGAATGAGGTAATAAGATCAATCCCATGAATAAGAGATGGAATGTTATACCTTCTTTTGTTAACAACACTGTTAAAGATTTTCCAAAAGTCTCTAGAGCCTGACTTCTGAGATATGATACAAGATTTAGTGAAGTGAAAGTGAGAATATTGGAGAATATTGGAGAATATTGGAGCTGAAAATGAGAATATTGGAGCTTAGCATCTAGCAGCACCTTTTTACATCGATTCCTTGCAATAATAAAAAGCTGTAAGTTCTCAAGAGAGATGTTCTTTTGAAAAAGATGAAAAAAATGATTACAATTGAATAGCAGCTGCAGAAGAGGTTGAACATCATGGAGTAGAACGAGGCTTGACTCGGAACCGGTGAGAAGGAATAAAACCATTCATTCCTACCTGAATCCAGGAGGTTTTGTAAGGGGTGCATTTATCAGCTGAGAGGGAAAAGACATCAGTCCAAAGACCGTCACAAAGAAAATCACAAAAAGAGTCTCAGTCAGCTTTAGGGTAGTAGTAAGTAATGCAATGATAGGGTGAGTCCAAAAATAAAGTATGAGATGAAAGATTTAAAGGGATCATTGCATGGTCAGAACCACTTACAGAAGAAAAAGGAGAAATTGAACACAAGCTAGACCAGACATAAATCAAGGAGTGAAGGTAAATGATTATGGTTGTCAGCAAAACGACTCGCAAAGTTAACTATCTGAGTAAGAGATTGCAGAAGTTATAGGCTTTATTGCCAGCAGGGTCAGTGGCATTAGAGCCAAGCCATTCACTGTAATGAGCGTCAAAGTCACCAATAACAACAATATTAGCAGAGAGGTAAAGTGAGAGAGGTGATAGAGTGAAGAGGTGCTAAGCGGACGCACATAAAAGAATGGTCAAACGATTCAAACCTGATTTCATGAAAAGTAGGTGAATTGAGGGTTTTGTATACCACTAAGCCAAGCATGTGACTATTGGAGCCTTTGCAAATCAAAGGATAGTACCCATCAATACTGAGATCAGAAGAAGGAGTAGCAGGATTTAAATTAGTCTCACAATCAGAAAGCAAATCTGGTGAATTTTGTGAGGTAAGATTCAACTGATGTAAGGTTGATTTACAGACCACGAATATTAGTAAAAGATATATTAAAACAGTAGGGTGGTGGGGATGGTTTTTTATGTTTAATATTTTGATTTACTTTTGGCTTAATTTAAGTTTAAAGAGAACTTGATTCATTCATAGATAGAGCGTGGCCTCCCAAGCAATGAGCTATGCAATTTTCTTGGTCCTTTTAATTAACCTTAAGCCGTAACATAGGGCTCCTTATGTGAACTTGACAATGCGCACTAAAAGCATTAACAGGGATACCACCTGTGCCCAACATGGCACTGTTAATACTCTGATATTTTGCAGCTGTTGATGGAATCAGCTCGTCTGAGAGCTACCATAGAGTTCAGGAAACTCTACTACCAGCCAGCCTCAAAACCATTAAACTGAGTTTTAGATAAAAACATGAAGAGTTGCATAGCCACTATCAAGAAGGCACAAACAAAAACCTATGAGAAAAGTCAAGAATATCTAGCATTAATTATCCTAGGCAGGAAACAATGTAACACAGGTTTACATCTACGCCAGAGGATTTTTAAGTCGGAGTTTGTTTCTCCTAGCTTTTGCCTAAAAAAGTACACTTTACAAGGCATCAGGGCAGGTAGTACTGGGTTATATAATACCAGTAGCAGAGTGATCGTAATGATCCTGAACCTGACCTGACCTGTAGTAATTAAAAGGAGCTACTTCCTGCAAACAGCACCTTAAAATATTGGACATGATATTTTAAAAATGCATTAGGAAAAATATTATACCCGAAAAAATACTAAAGGTAAGGGTGAGCGTAAGTTTAATAGTTCAAGTGTCTAGTTAGTTTATGTGTGATCAAAACAGATTTAAACATTTAAACAAAACACACACATGCGTGAAGTAACTTATGAGTGAGTAAACACTGTGCCAGAGATTCAGACAGAACCCAAATATAGATAAATAAACATAAACAGACAGAACACAATCATACAGATGGCAACTTATGGGTAAGTCAACAATGCGCCAGAGGTTCAGACAGAACACAAACATACAGGTAGCAATTTATGGGTAAGTCAACACCGCGCCATTGGTTTAAACAGAACACAAACATACATATAAAATAGATTACAGGTGAGCTAAAACAGTAACTAAGGCACCTCAAACTATATAAGAGACACACATACAAATATGCAGTAGTGGTGTAGTGGTAGAGCGCTCGCTTCATAAATGAGAGGTTCCGAGTTCGATCCCCACCACGTCCCTGGTAGTACTGTGCTCAACTCATTTCTCCGCGCAGCCCCCTTGTTCGTTAAGGTTTGTGTTTTGGAGTTATAAAGTTATAATAGGGTTATAACCACAAATAACTAGCCTCCTCGTCTGTAGTGGCCTTCTCTGCCTTGAGGAGGTGAATTAACAAAAAAATAAAATAATAATAATTAAAAAAATTAAAAAAAACGAACACATACTTATGTTACCACAGGCATAACCAATTTTAAATGGTACTAATGACAGGAAGCAAACTCTTTCCAGTCTTTGTCTAAAAAGCATATCCCACAAGGCAATATATATATATATATATATATATATATATATATATATATATATATATATATATATATATATATATATATATATATATATATATATATATATATTTATATATATATATATATATATATACATATATATATATATATATATATATATATATATATATATATATATATATATATATATATATATATATATATGTTTTTAAAAGAACAGAGCAATTATAAAGTAGTAGAAAATCACTTAGCAAAAAATTTAACCCTAAGCCTGACCTCGATGTCTGGCCAAACCAAACCCTCAGTTGATGTAGCAGCACTCCCTTACAAATCAGGCTATTTGATAGTCTATGTATGTACTTTTTGTTCTCTATAAAAGTTTCTTATGGGTACATTTTTTTACAAAAAAAATAATGCTCACAGAAAAAAAAAATTAACAGGTACACTAAAATATCCCCGAGAATGTCCCCGTAAGCCTTGTGTTGAACTTTTTTATTTTGCAGTAACATTTATTAGAATTTTCTTTTCTTTTAGAAATTCATTTTTATTAATTAATGCAATGTTATAGCCTTTTATAATACTTTCTTTATTTTTTGTACAACTCTTACTTACTTTAAATAGTATTTCTATTAAAAATTTTGTGCAATATATTAGAGGGAGGGAAGTTTGTCTACTAAAAAATAGTTTTTTTTATGTTGGTTAAAACATTTTTGTAGGGGAATCATTTTACTTTTGGATGTTGATGCTAGAGCTCATTTAAATGGTGTAGTGTCAGAGTGTTTGTTTTATAAGCAAGAATTTCCGAGTTTGATCCCCACCATGTTCCTGGTAGTACTATATTTAACTTGTTTCTCCACATAGTGGCCATAAATTTGAGAGGTTGTAACCACAATTAAGTAGCCTCCTCAACTGTAGTGCAGCCTTCTCTCCTTTGGGGAGGCGAATAACATTAAAAAAAAAAGATCAAATTATTTATCTTTATTTTGCTTTTTTCCAATTTTCATTTCAAATATTAGCTAAAAAATTTTAAATCCATTTTTTTTAAAAAGTGTCTTCATATACATGTTTAGATGAGTTATAAATATTTTCATTAGGAGAATTTGAAATATTTGATAAATTCTAATTTAGTCGAATTAAAATAATCTGGTTTAATGCACTTCATTATTAAACTGTCATCACAATTCAGATCTAGTTGATTAATTTGTTAAATTTTAGCTTGGGTATTTTAAATGCACAAACCTACAAACTCTCATATTTCTTCACCATCATAACTTCCCATTGTTACATCAAAGCATTTCTGTGTGTTTTTTTTTCTATGTTTCTTTATTAAAATATAATAAAGTTTTTCTGCAATGGTTAAATAAAAGAATAATGTCCTCTGTAATTTTTGTGTGGTTTTCTGAAAATTTTATTGTTTTATCTAAAATTTCTGCTGTAATTGAGTGGTAAAAATCATTAATATTAAATTGAATGAAAGTGCATTAATTTTTATTGCTAATTTCAGAAAATCAATTTTTAACGTCAGTAGTATTATTCTACTAATGCAAATTTAATTTTTTATGAATAATGATATTAATTTTGTCAAATTTAATTTTATTAACTACAAGCTAGTTTATTTTGTAAACTTGGTTTATGATCTTTTAGTGAATTAAATGCTTGCGCTGGTGCAACTATTTCAATTCGAACATCTAACTTAATTATTTTCATTGTTTTCTAGACTTAATGATGTTAATGCAATAAATCTCTTTAATTCTTATATAAAAACAAACAAAGAATATTCAGTTATATATAATTTTATATAGATAATTAAACAAGAATATTTTGTTTTAGTTAGATATAGGTTCAATTTTTTAATAGAACTGTTTCTATTTACAGAACTTAAATGTTGTTGAAAAGCTACTAAAATTTTAAAATAGTTTTAAAAATTTATATAGTTTGGATTTCTGTGATTAGTTAATGATAGGCTGCTAAACAAGTTTTAATCACAATTTTGTCTACTGTCTGTCTAGGCAAGATGTTGATATTATTTTTGAGTTTTATCAGTGGACTTGATAACTTAATTTTTATATTTTAGTATTTAATTTAATTAATTACTTAAATAGGTTAATTATTTAGTTAAACTATTATTTAGGATACTTCTCTTTTTTCTTTTTATTACAATAGAAAAATTTGTAAAATTGTTGTATAATATATTTTTATATTATATTTTCAATGAATTTTAAAATTCCTAAAATAAGCTTCAATTTGGTTAAAAAAGATTTTTTAACAAAATTTAATTTTGTTAATTTAAAATAAAGCCTTTCCTAATATTTTTTAATTGCTTTTAAATATATTAGAATTGAAATTTTTCAATGCAGAAAAATATCAAAAAAATTAATAAATTTTTTTTTTTATGTAGGTGAAACCAAACTGCAAAAGGTTGAAGAAGAAAAAAAGCTCTTAGGTGTTTCTGAAGATTATAAAAAACAAACTGTTTTAAGTCACAAAAAAATTCTTTCAGATGATTCTGATCGTCTTAGTGATCACCTTGAAACAAGTGTTAGAAGCAGAATAAATACTAACAGGCTACATCAAGAAAATTATCACAAAGAAAAATCTAGCTATAGCGAAGAGCACCGGTCTAGTAAAATTTATAATTTGTATGAAGATAGTACAAGGAAAAGACCATATAATGTATCAGATGAGCGAAAAAATCGTTCAGATTCTGAATTATTAGATCATGGACATTTTCAAAAGTATAATAGTAATGATTTAATTGCACGTAATGTCAAACAAAAAGATGAGACTTTTAAGAAAGTCAAAAGTGAAGTACGAAAGAAAGAGAAAAAATATAAGAAATCAGAAGAAAAATACCAGAAGAAAAAAAAAAGTAAAAGAAAGTTAACACCAGAGAAAATTCAGCATCACGAAAGTGTAAAATTAGAAAAGTCTCCAAGTATGGATTATGCATTTATTAGAAAAAATGGTGATATTGAGCCAATCACTTCTGACTCTTCATTAGATTCTTTTTCACGAAGTCCTTCTAAATCTCCAACTCCTCTTCGTTCTCGATCTCCAAGTCAATCTCCTACTCTCTCAGATAATAGATCTGATAGTGAATCTCCATCACCATTGATAAGTCGGTCTCCTACTCCAAAATTATCACCACCTCCTCAGCGTAAGCGTACCTATTTACCAGCTATAGAAGGATGTAGAAGTGTAGAAGAATTTACCTGGCTAAATAGAATTGAAGAAGGGACTTATGGTGTTGTTTATAGAGCTAGAGATAGAAGAACAGGTTATTTATATTTTTTATTTGCTTGTATTAACATATACATAAATATTTCAGTGCAGCCTTTTGCTTTATAGGTCCAATTTATGATTGACAATATGTGGATTTTTTAATTATTTGATGGGTTAGTTATATTGATCAATTTAAAAGGTTTTGTAAGCAAGTTCATTAGAATAATGTTTAAAAGCGTTTCAAAAGTTACATTACTTGATTTTTACTTGATTTATTATATAACTAATGAAATAATAACATTACTAATTCTTATTATTTTTATTATTGTTTTACATTAAATTGATTGCTGGTAGATACTTAAACTTTAGGTAGTCAGTATCTACCATTAAGGTTCTTAATTACCATTAAAGGTAGATACTGAGTTTTACCTAAAGAATAGATACTGAGTGTCTACCTAAATGGTAGATACTGAGTGTACACCTAAACTTTAAATAGATGCTCAGTATCTACCATAAAGGTTCTTAATTACCATTAGGGTAGATATTGAGTGTTTACATAAAGGGTTAATACTGAGTGTCTAAATAAAAAAGGTAGAATGACTAAAGCTACCTGAAAGAGCTGGCTTCTATCTGTTGCTATGTTGTTGCTTATCTTGTTGTTGCTTATCTTTTTTATAGATGAGGTTGTTGCATTAAAACGCCTCAAAATGGAACGAGAAAAAGAGGGTTTTCCAATTACATCACTTCGAGAAATAAACTGTTTATTAAAAGCACAGCATCCAAATATTGTAACAGTCAGAGTGCGTTATAAGTATTTTTAATGCGGCATTAGCTTTTAATTTTTTGTGTTTAACATTAATTTAAAGCAAAAACATATTATTATAAACATAACCTGGTTAATTATACTAATATGTTTTTTGATTATTTTACATATTTTTGTTTAAACTGACATATTTAAAAATATGTAAAAATTTAATTATTCAGATTTTCTGTTACTATAATTTAGGAGATTGTTGTTGGAAATAATACTGATAAAATTTATATTGTTATGGATTATGTAGAACATGATCTTAAATCACTGATGGAGACCATGACACAACCATTTCTTGTTGGTTTGTTCTACTTTTTACTTTGTGATTTAAAACATACATTATTAATTTATTTAAAAATATGATTTTAACCTATCAATATATATATAATTTTAAAAATAAGATACCAATATTCTTAAAAAAATAAATTCTTAACTTTAAATTTAATTTAATTTGTTTTTGTGTTTTTATAAATTACATTTGATCAAAGGCTATTAAGAAAAATATATATTTTTTAAAATTTGTAATTTTCTTTTTTTTTTCACAAAAAATAAAAAATTTATGATTTTTCAGCTAGATTTGTGTAGCCTTTTGTATCTTTCTTAAGATTTATTTATCCTATATTCTTTTTATGCTTTTTTGACATTAAATCATGAGTAGATTACTTTAATAGAAGTATGCAGAGTTTAAAATTTACAGTTTTTTAAAAATATTATCTACATTTTTCTAAATATCTAAGTACTTTGAGAACACAGTATGGCACTAAAAAATCTAAATGTTTTAAGAATAGTGCGATACAAAAAATTCTGATATCTGGAAATGCTTCTGGTCTTTAGTATTTTTTGGTTTTTATCTGTTTTTATCACTAAACTTAATAGTTTAATAAAATAATATTTATTTGGTCTTGAAGTTATGATATAAAATCTCATTATAAAACCATATTGCTACTATTAGTAATTATTTTTTTATTATTTTAAATAAAGATTTAAACTTTAATATTTAAATTCATTTGATAAATCATCAGATGAAATTAGAAAAATAAAGTATATAGTGCAATGTAATATCAAAAATTAAGCAACCGCAAATCACAACAGTCTTAGGGAGTTTAGCATTAATCAAATATTTTAAAAGCAAAAAAAAATTATTTTTATATCTTATTTAAATCTTATTTAATATTTTCTTATAAATCAAATATAACAGTCAATGCTTGTATCTCTCTAACGCAGGTATTTACATAAAATTAAAGACAGAGGAGTTTAAAAGATATGAAATATAAAAATAAAAGATATAAAATAACTTATTTAAACTACTTATGGTTTTTTAAAATAAAACAAAAAAATCTTTCGTAGATGCGCAAATAGCTTTAGTAAAAATTTTATTAGTTGATTTTTAAATTACTGTTCAAATTTTTTAAACCTTAAGTAGTTTTTATCTTTTTTCTATAAGTTATTTTTTTTTAATAATTTTTGGAATATGATAAATTGACCATTAGATTAAAACAGTGTTCATGGTTTTTATAAACTGAAAACTTGAGGACCAGAAATATTTTCAGATTTTACAATTTGTGAACACAATTATTGACTTGATCACAATATGACACAAAAATATCTAAGTAATTTGAAAACACAGAGATAACAATGACACAGTGTTACAAGAATGTAATACTACATGAAAATTAAAAAAATTATTACTTTTTGTAGCTTTTTTAAAAACCAGCAGGAAGTAAATAAATTTTAATAGATGTTTAAATAAGTGATATTTATATATTGATGTTTAATATTAAATGATATTGATGTTTAATATTTAATAATATTGATGTTTAATATGAAAGCATAAAAGGGCTCTTTACCTTCCTTTGCAACAATATACAATTGGCTGCTAAATTTAAAAGTAATCATACAAGTTTTAAAAAAGAATGTTATTGGAGATGTGAAAACATTTTTAATTAATTAAAACTTTTGTTTTGACTGATGAGCATATTTTAGCCATATTTTTATATTTAATATATTTCTTTCATTTAGTTTTTATTATTTTTTTCATTTAGTTTTTATTATTTCTTTCGTTTAGTTTTTATTATTTCTTTCATTTAGTTTTTATTATTTCTTTTATTTAGTTTTTATTATTTATTATATCATTTATATATTAGTTTTTATTATTTCTTTCATGTAGTTTTTATTATTTCTTTCATTTAGTTTTTATTATTTATTATATCATTTATATATTAGTTTTTATTATTTCTTTCATGTAGTTTTTATTATTTCTTTCATTTAGTTTTTATTATTTCTTTCATTTAGTTTTTATAATTTCTTTCATTTAGTTTTTATTATTGCTATTGTAAAATAAATATTGCCACGCTGGTTTATTTATTTAAAAAGTTTTGAAATAAATAAACTATTAAATAAGTCATTGTAAATTTAAAAATAAAAAAAAAAGAAATTAAATAATAAAATTTTTGAAAGTATACAAAAAAAGTACTCTTCAACTATAAGCTGACATTAAATCAATTGTAGCCATTACATTATTCAACCAGCCATTAGATTAATTTTAATTAAATTAATGATTACATTGTTTCAGTAATAAAGGTTAACGATCCTTACATAATTTTTTTTAACTAATTTTTATTTAATATTTAATAATTTTAGTTAGATAATTAATACTTAAAGTAGTAGTGTGTTAATAACTCAAACAATAGTCTGCATATTAACAACTTTCATAATTGTTTTTTTTTTAAATGATAAAATCTATAGGTAAAATTATAAGGCTAGTTGTTATTACTACTGATGTAGAACTTATAATCAGTTTTAATATTGTATTACAGGTGAGGTAAAGACATTGATGCTTCAACTCCTGCGTGGTGTGCGCCATATGCATGATAATTGGATACTACACCGTGATATCAAAACATCAAATCTTTTACTCAGTCACAAAGGAATATTAAAAGTATACTTTGTTTGCACTTAAATAAAAATTGTAAGGTGTGTCAATGCGTTGCTTGGTAACCATTGGCCAAGGCCAATAGTTTTTATTTAAACATTTCTAAAACATTGCTATATTTGTTTTTATTTTGTATACAACCATCAAGAAAATAATTTAAACACAATATATAAGACTAAGTTATTATACAGGCATATATGCAACCACTAAATCTTTTGAAATCTTATTATTATCAACGCTTTGAATTCTTGTGTTACGTTAAAAATAAATATAAATTTTAAATATTACTATGCAAAGTATTAATATGCATTATTGCTTTATAACCAATTATAAATTTATTTTTTTATTTCTCCAAAACTTTTCCAATTTGCATGGACAAAAGCATTATAGAGTTCTTTGGGAGTTTTGGTCATGTTGACTGTTGTTTGGTCATGTTGACTGTTAGATGTATCAGTACTAAATAATCTTTTTTCTAACCACCCAAAAAGGTGAAGCTTATAAAATCAAAAAAAAAATTGTGAATAATAAAAAAATTATATTGCAAAAAATCTTCATTTTAATAATTTTATTTAGAGATCTTTTGTTCTACTTTCTAGCATTTAAAATATTTAGTTCCATCTTGTTACTACTTTCACTGTTTCTAAATTTTGTATATCAACATTAACAAACAACCTTTAAACAACATTTTTGAGAAATATCTGTTGACCCCCCCCCCCCCCCCCACCTCTCTCTTATGTTTTTTATATAATAAAGTAACAATGGATTTAAAATTTTTGAATAAAAAATATTAAACACATCAATTCCTAATATTATCAACGAAAAAAAAAAAGTTAAAAAATAATGTCAATCTGGATTTTTAATAAAGCAAAATTATATTGAATTTCAAAAATTTTATACATAAAAAATGATATTTTTTAACTAAAAAATTAGGGGTTGCATCTCTTTGCGAATTCCTTTTGTTGACTAAATAATTTGTAATGATAGTTATGTATTTTTTTTACTTTTTTGAATCAATGTTTGATATAGTTTAGAAAAGAAATTAAAAAATATTAGGACCTGTCAAGAATTTAGAATCCAAAGAGGAACCTCAAAAGCTCATCAAAATTGGAAAAAGTTTTAAAAATTTTTTCATATGATTTAATAGACATCGATTTATCTTTTTTTTTCTTTTTTTTTGATATTAAAATTGCTAGTATGCATATTTAAAATTAATTTTACTTGTACAAAACATATTTTGAACTTATTTGGTAGGAAATAACTTTTTAAAATTGTGAGGCATCTAGAGATGAGTCACTAAGTGATGATCTTTGTTTTGAGCAAAAATTAAACAAAATGAAAATATTCTCTTGCTTTCTATTGAGGTTGGCTGTATCCAAGTTAAGGCATCTAGCAGCTTTTTTAAATTATTTGTAATATTTCCAGTATTCACATACATTTGAAATTCTTTTTTGAGGTCTTTGTTCGAATCTTTAGTTGTAACACACTTTTTAGAATGCTGCATTTCTAGCTTTTATCAATCTGTCTTTAATATTTGGAACTGTTAAGCAATTATTTTCTTTAGAGGATTCACTTTCAATTCCAATGTTGACATCTTCACTGAACAATCTATTAAATAGGTCATTTGCATAACGAATAATTACAGCTTTTAAAGATGAAGGTAGCTTAGGAGTAGCAGTTGAATGTAAATCGCGCGTTTAGAGGTATTTAATCAAAGTCACAAGGCTTGTATCCCTAAAATAAATAATCTCATTTTTCGATCTTTTTTTTCATTTTAACATATCTTTATCTAATTTAATAAAGTCTAGTTCACAGTTAAATGGGCCGCCTTGTAACTTTAATCAAACTAAAATAGAACTCCTCTTGCACACCTGATGTAAAGTTTGCTGCTCTTCCGTTGTTATCCATTTGTTTTTGTTGCTGGTTTTAACTATATTCCATAGTTTCAACTTTTTGGACAAATAATTGGACAATAATTTGCCAAAATATTTTTAAACTACGCGAACCTTCATTTTTAATATGGTTTAAATAATTAAGTTTATATCCACTTTTGAAATTAAATGGGTTTTTTCTAAAGCCTGTTGCAATTAGTGGTACACTGACACTAGTTTAAATAATACACATAACACAAGTTTAATGTCAATTGTAATTACTTTATCAACTCCAACAACTTAATTAGAAAGTTAATACTCATCATATTCCATCGTCAACCAAACACATAATACTTTTCTCTTTTTTGAAGAACTGAGGCTAACTTTTGCCAAAATACTCTAGCAAGAATGATGCAATCATTCAATCTCTTTGAGGTATACTTAGTAACTGCTTCTAGAATTTTATAACTAGCTATTATTAACTTCTTAAAACGTTTTGTTTAGAAAGAAACTTCAGATAAAATTTTTTTTGAAGAAATCTGTCATTTTGATTACTTAAAACGTTTTGTTTAGAAAAAGACTTTAAAAAAAAACAGATAAAACTTTTTTTTTCTAAAACGCAATGATTAAAAGTCAAATTCATTCAATCAAAATTTGAAAAGCATAAATTTGAAAGAAAAGTTGCATAGCTTTATACGCAAAGAAACTTTTGCAAAGGCTTTTATTTTTTATATCTTTAAATTTTTAAAATAGAAGAAGGTCAACCATAAAAAATTAGCAAAAACTGAATTGTTTTTTGAATTTTTCTTAAAAAATTAATTAAGAATAACTGGTTATACAAATAGTTTAGAATTTTGACAATGAAACTTTTATAAAATATAAATTTTTGTAAAATAAAACTTTTATTAAATATATTTTATAATTGATAATTAGCTATAAAAATATGTTCATTAAATTTTTTATATATTTTTTTAAAAATAATTTTTATACATTTTAATTTTTTGTAAATTTTATATTTTTTCTTGTTTTGAAAAATATGGTTCACAAACAATTAACATTGTTTCATAAAAATTACTTTTAGATAGGAGACTTTGGGTTAGCTCGTGAGTATGGTTCACCTTTAAAAAAATATACTTCCATTGTTGTGACACTATGGTATAGAGCACCTGAACTACTTCTTGGAACAAAGGTTCTGATTTTATAGATTATTAATTATTTCATATATTTTATTATTGTTAAATGTTTTTGTTTAGAATTTATTTTTAGAACTAATGTTTACTGAAGTGTTATTTTATTTTAAATTAAAATAAATTGAAAAAAAACTTTTGTTAGGAATGTAGTTGGTGTGAAATTGCATAAGTTTTCACTCTTGACTTTATGTACTTCTTTTCTCAAAACCAATACTTAGAAATACTTACATCAAGCTTTTTATTTGACAAAATTAGAAAAAAAAGTCTCTTTTTTTATTGGTTGATTGAAGTTGAAATTTTTTTATTGGTTAATTGGAGCTGCCTTTGATTCAATAGGTAACTTAGCTTTGATAAATACATAAAAATAAAAAATATTCACTTTAACTTTTTAATGCTTCTACACCAACTCAGAATGCCTCAATATTATTTTGGCATCCTGGAGATAGTAGCATTTTTGAGTTATAAAACTGTAAGTATATAGGAGATGATCAGCAATTATAACTTAATTTTAAAAGTTTTTGTTTCTTGTTTTTACTGATGTATAAAGATTTGAAAGTGGAAAATTATTTTTGTTTTTATTTTTAGGAGTACAGTACTGCAATAGATTTGTGGAGTTGTGGGTGCGTATTTGCTGAATTACTTACGATGAAAGCTTTATTTCCAGGAAAATCTGAAATTGACCAAATAAGTCGCATATTTAAGGTTTTTTAATTACTTTTTTTTTCAACTTTTTATTTTATCTTTTATTAATGAACATACTGTTAGTAAGTGGATCAGTTTACTTAAATATTTGTAAGCTTATGAGGGTTTTTAGGTTTTCATGGGTGTAGAGAATTTTTGGTGTGAATAGGAATGTAAAATTTTTTGGTGTGAATAGGAATGTAAAGTTTCTTGGTGTCAATAAGAAAGTTATTTGAATCTTGAAAAAAACCATTTTTTTTACTTTTTATTGTTTTTATCTCTTCGTTTTTTTTTAGGAATTAGGTACACCAAATGATAAGATTTGGCCAGGACCACCTGCTTATTCAGAAATGCCTCAAGTACAAAAGGCAAGTTCAATGGAGGGCTTTTTACTTAATTTTCAGTATCCAATATATTTTCCACAAAAAATAGTCCATGAGCTTTATTAAATTTTTGGAGCTTCCGTACCCGAAGTCCAATATGAGAAACCACATTCCTGTACATAACATTTAAGTATAAATTTATTATACAACTACCAATGTTCATTTCTCATATGTTAATTGTGTTGTATTGTTAAAATGAATTTTAGATGAATATTTCTCACCATCATTATAACATATTGCGTCAAAGGTTCGGTGCAACTCTTACTGATATTGGATTTGACTTAATGAACAGGTTTTATATTTTTATTAAAATCCGTTTTATTAAAACTGTTTTATTAAAAAAATTTAATAAAACAGTTTTTACTCTTTTACTGCTTATTAAAATCCTTTTTTCTGAATGTATACAAACTAGAGTGTATATGTATGTATACATACATGCATATGTACTAGGGTGCAGTGAAAAAATTGTGGGATATTGAAGTGCAAACCAAGTGATTGCAAATTGTGAAATATTTTTGGTCTTCTCAGTTTTTTAAAAGCATGAGCACTGTTTTAATAAATGGCTCACTTTATCGTTAAAAATTAATGAAAAAAACAATCAATTTATGACTGCAAAATTAGTCAAAACTGACATTTAAATTTATTGTTTGTTTAAACACCAGTTAATTTAAGTATTTAAAATAAATTTAAAAAAATTACTGAGAGGGATTCCAAACCCCCTGTTGACATGTGTTGACATATTCATATTTAAAGTGAATGATAAAAAAAAATGTTTGGACTAATTTTTTTGATTAAAACAAAAGAATAAATGTATGTACCAAGACCAAGAAAAACTAACTTTTTTATTTAAGTCGAAACTCACCTTCTCAGTTTTGTTGTAGGCCCTAAAAGTCTGTATAGTATACGCCGCAATCAACAGACTTGATAATTTATTCAAGGGTGTTTTAATCCTAAGAGTTTCAGTACACGATGTCATGATTTTTTTGTTTGTGTAAAGATCTATTATGTAAATAAACAAAAAAATCAATGGCGTCATGTTCTAAAACTCTTTGGAATAAAACACGCTTGATTAAATTATCAAGTCGTAGATTGTGGCATATATTATGCTGACTTTTTGGCCTACAACAAAACGAAAAAAGCAAGGTTCAACTAAATTTAAAAAGTTAGTTTTTCATGGTATGCATTTATACTTTTGTTTTTATCAAAAAAATTTAGCCAAAACATTTTTTTTAATCATTTTTTTAAAAATATGAACACAGCATGTCTTGGAGATTTGGGATCCCTTTAATGTTTAAAAAATAGGTGTGGTAATTTTAAAATCAACCAATAAAATAATAAATAAACTAAAGCTGTTTGGGGATTATATGAAATAATAAAATCTGGTTTTAGTTGCTGGGAAAATTTAAAGAATTATTTATTTAAAAGTTTTATTGTTTTAAATTAGATATTTATTAATTGATAATAAAAATAATGATAAAAAGATATGTTTTAAAATGTTATTAGAGTTTATTTGCTGTGTTTTAAGATAACTATAAGTGATTTAAATTTTTTATGTTTTCAACTCCTCTGTCGTTTACTTTATATAAATATCTGCATTAGAGAGTTATAAGGAAATATCGAAAAAAATTTAAATAAAATATAAAAATAGTTGCAATTTCTTTTAAATATTTGAACACCTTTAGACTGTTGTGATTAGCGGTTGTTTTTTAATATTACATCATACTGTATGCTTTATTTTTCTAGTTTTATCTGATGATTTATTAAATGAATTAAAGTTTAAATCATAATTTTTAATAGTAGTAATAATAACTAGCAGTGAGCATAATACTGGTTATTAATAAATAAATCACAAATAACAACTTAACTTGTGTATGTATTATTTAAAAAATATAATAAAATACAAATTCCTCTATATATAAGGCTGCGACTGTGCTGATTTTTCTGCAGGAGAAAGCTATAAAAGTTTTAGTTTAGTGCTGCGCTCACCTCTGTAAAAACCGGGACAATCGCAGCCTCATCTAAATATGATGTAATCTTTTTAGTTCTGCTCGCTTTTGTTTGTCTTGGGAATATAAGATGTCCACATAACTTGAATTATTAGGTTCTCTTTTATAGCAGCTAGCACCAGAGAAGAAAAGTCAAGTGCAATTGACAATATCTAAACAAACAAAAAAAAAATCTTCTTAAACTACAAAAGTTTTACATATTTATTATTGTGTTTTAAAAAGTAAGAAAATAGTCAGCTAATATAACAACCTGGTAGCACACACACTGAAAGTCATATTTTAGCTAGCTTATCGTCTTCTACACAATAGTAACTATATTGAAAGTCATATTTTAGCTAGCTTATCGTCTTCTACACAATAGTAACTATATTGAAAGTCATATTTTAGCTAGCTTATCATCTTCTACACAATAGTAACTATATTGAAAGTCATATTTTAGCTAGCTTATCGCCTTCTACACAATAGTAACTATATTGAAAGTCATATTTTAGCTAGCTTATCGTCTTCTACACAATAGTAACTATATTGAAAGTCATATTTTAGCTAGCTTATCGCCTTCTACACAATAGTCACTATATTGAAAGTCATATTTTAGCTAGCTTATCGTCTTCTATACAATAGTAACTATATTGAAAGTCATATTTTAGCTAGCTTATCGTCTTCTACACAATAGTCACTATATTGAAAGTCATATTTTAGCTAGCTTATCGCCTTCTACACAATAGTAACTATATTGAAAGTCATATTTTAGCTAGCTTATCGTCTTCTATACAATAGTAACTATATTGAAAGTCATATTTTAGCTAGCTTATCGTCTTCTACACAATAGTCACTATATTGAAAGTCATATTTTAGCTAGCTTATCGCCTTCTACACAATAGTAACTATATTGAAAGTCATATTTTAGCTAACTTATCGTCTTCTACACAATAGTAACATTGAGTAGATTAAAGTTTGATCTTTATAATCAATGTGATTAGTCTTTCGGCAAATTATTAGTTATTGATATTTTCAAAAAAAATTAAATTTTATTTCAAAAATCTATTAGAACAATTAAAATTCATAAATCATGAATTAAAGAATAAAACATTTCTTAAACATGGTCATTAGAAAGAGAGACGGGGGGGGGGGGAGGCAGACTTCAAAAGCACAATGTTAAAAAAATGTTAAAAACGTATAATAAATTATTATGATCATAGCTTAAGTTATTATTTTTAATGTCAGGAACAATATTTTAGCACAAAATAGCTATAGCGCAATTAACCATTAAAAAAAGGCTTTTTAATGTTACCACTAAACAAAATTATTTTTACGTCAATAATTTAAAATTCCAGTTTCTTCATAACTGTTGACTAATGGTTAACACAGTAAATTTCATATCATATAAATTTTCTAAATTAAAACCATGTTTCAACAGTAAACAAACTAATAAAGTAATGGTTTATGTAAACATACTTATCATAAACTATCAATTAGCAACATTTGAAAATAAATTTGTGTATTTTTGTCACACCACTATATTGGGTTGCAGGCACATTATGTCGCACCACTATTTTGGGTTGCAGATGAAAGCCGAAAAAATAATTAACTATGGATCTTTTTATTAATAAAAAGATCTGTAGTTTATCTGTATCCGTAAAATCGCCTAAGTTCGGTCACTTAAGCTTTGAACATTTATTTATCACGCATAAATATAATTTTTTTTTTTCTTTTCCTGAAACATACAGAAAATTGTATTAATAATTGATATTGTAAAAATAAAAAAATGAAAAATAAAAACAGGTATTTAATTTAAAATGAAAACATTTACTTTGACCGAACTTTCAATACCACCTCATAAGTTCGGCCACTATATAAATACTAATATCATATCACAAACTTAGCGTCACAAATAATGAAAACTATTTTTTAAATGTTGTTTTATTGTAAAATTACAATATAAATTCAGGTAATACCAGTAACTAAGGAGGGAGTCAGTCCAGGCTCAAAAAAAAATGTCATTTGGGGCACCAAAGAAAACAAGAAGGAACACATAAAAAAAGGCTTTTTTAGATATAAGTAGTAGTATTTTAAATTTTTATTGTAATTAGTCAACTATTTTATTACTTTGGACATAATTACATTTGCTACGCCACCGGTTAATACAATTAAAAATACATTTTTCAGTTAATTTAAAAAGATTTTTTTCAATTAACAAAAAAACTACTTTGCTTTAAATGAGCTTTGTATATTTATTGGCAATTCTTGCACATATCGTTGACCATAGCAGAACAGCAAGTTCCAAACAAACAATCGTCACAGGGTTTGCAACGCATCCATAATTGTTGTTGAGCATTAATTATATCTCCAAAAAAAAATGATACAAGCATGATATTTTTTAGAACTCAAAGAACCGTCAAAATTATGAACAAATTTTTTATTCAAATAAAATACTATGGTGTGTATCCATTATAAAAATGTCAAAATTTACTGGTAAATTTACAGGTAAAGTTACCGGTAAACTTTACATTCGCAACACTTATCAATATTTCACAATATTACTGCTAATTGTCTCCTTCGTTTTTTATCTGTGAATGACCGAAGTTAGAGTATTTAAAAATTTCACTAATTTTATTAAAAAAGTAGTAAGTTTTTAAAAATTAATAATTTTTTTTTGTAAATATAATTAATTTGGTGATTCTTAATAATATTAAGATTAAATTTGATCATTTATTTTAATAGTTTGCTTGTTTTAGATTTTCAAAGTATGTAAGCATTTTTTCAATTTGTTGTTTTGCTAAAGAATTATTTCAGCAGGTTGCATATATATATTATTAATTTTTTTATAGACTCATATTTACGAACTAATTACAAATATTATTTGAGAAAAAAAAATTTGTAAAATTTGAGTTTTGCATGCTTTTTATATATTTTTTCTTAAATGACCGAAGTTACATGGTGACCGAACTTAGGCGGTTTTACAGTAATTATAAAGTATGGTAAACTTTTTAATTATAGCTATGGCTATAATTAACATAAGCATCAGCAGCTTAATGTAATCATTTTTTTGTAAAAGAACAAAATATATATATATATATATATATATATATATATATACATAATATATACATAAACAACCCTTGGAATTAGGTTCAGCATTCGGCAATGCCAATCTAACTGCCGACCTGAAAGTGTTTGAGGTTGGCAAAAAATTGCTGACCTCATTTCTATGTTTTATGGTCAGACCTTTGTATCAAATAATTTTTGCCAACCTGATGCCGACCTCAAAAAGATTGAGGTCAGCAAATTATTGCCCTCCTCTTTTTCTTTATTTCAAGGGTTGCATAAAGAACAATGTAAACATTTTTTGACGCATCGAAGCAAATTTTTTAGTATATAATGTAAAATAGTATTGTTTAATGGTTCAAGAATAAAAGCGTTTAAACTCTAAACATTACAATGGGGAAGGGTAACCCAATGCTAATGAGGCTTGTTGGTCATATGTTAAAACTGATCCTCAATAATTTATTTTTTTAAATTAGCTTGTTTTATTTTCGATAATAATAATTTGTGTTTTGAAATGTTTTAAAAATAAAAAAAATCTGGGCTTTTTAAATAAATAAGGATTTTGTTTTTTAATATTTAAAGCATTTTATACTCAGTTTCAAATTTCAAAACCAAAACTTTAAATTTCAATTATGAAATTTTTTTTAAATTGAGAAAATTAAGTTTGCCCCTGTTTTATAACTCTGGGTTACTTACCCAAAAAGCAGGGCACATAAGCCCATTATACATAACCTAACAAAAGCAATTTAAAGTTTAAGACCATAGACTACATATAAATAACAATAAAAAGTAATTTTAATGTTATATCAAGAGTCTTGTCAACCTTTTCCCTTAAAAAAATTAAAATAAAACATGCTAAAAAGTTACCCCTAAAAATATTTCTAATTCAAAAATTTGTATAACTTCTTATACAAAACAGAAAGGAGCCCCTTTTTCACTATGTCCGATTTGTGCATAAAAAGTTTTATAATTTTTGACCCACGCTAATATATATATATATATATATATATATATATATATATATATATATATATATATATATATATATATATATATATATATATATATATATTTATATATTTATATATATATATATACACACACACATGTTCACATACGCACACATACATACAAATTTTTTTTTTGTAATTACAATTAGAATGTTTTTGCATAAAATATTCATGCTTAGATTTATATATATAGATTATTAACGTATGACCCAGGTCGAAGAATAACAGCAGATGATGCAATGGCTCATGCTTACTTCAAGGTAAGTTTAAACACACAAATCTTTTTTTTTAAGTTACTTCACTAGTCATGTCACAAAACTTATTTGGTCAGGTTTTTAATCTAATTTTTTTCCACAAATGAAGCTAGTGGTTTTCACAAATGATAAACTACTGTACTCAAGTGGTAGACTACTGTATTTTAAATTATTTTTTTTAAAAGAGCTTAAAAGAGTTTTATATTTAAACTATTGTAAAAACAAAAAATAAAAATTGCTTTAAATAGAAAGAAAAAAAAAGATAAATATAATATGTCATAATAATTTAGTAAAATAAAATTTGGAGTGTTAAATTTAAAGTTTAATTAATACTATATTGAAAAATAAATAATAAATTACACAATGATAAAAAATAAGACCAGGTGTTGTAAAAAGCTTTTAATAGAAAGGTTTATTTCATTTGTTAAAATATTTTGCAAATTTATTATGTTTTTTTTAGCAAAAAATACTTACTAGGTATGGTTTACAAAGATTTTGTATTTTATGTGCCAGCTTTTTATTTTTATTTTAATATTTTAATACTTTTTATTTTTTTACTTTTATTTTATTTATATAATATTGCTTTTATTTTAAGCTTTGTATTTTATGTGCGAGCTTTGTATTTTATGTGCCAGAGTATTTACTGTGTAGACGATTTTCTTTTGGTTAGTCAGATCAAGCTTGTCAGGTCGAGCTTGAACCTCTTTCTTAATATTGTAAAGATAATTTAAACTTACTAGTATCGTTTTGAAATGTTTTACAGCAGCAACCATATTATCACCATAAATCACAATTTGTTTCATCTAAACATATTTTTTTTTTTTTTGTATAACTAAGTTAAATTTAAAAAGTTATTAGTTGCTGATATGTTTGTAGCACATTTTGTGTAGAAATGTGTTCTTGTTAATATTTATGTAGAAATATGTTCTTGTAAATGTTCAACTCGCAAAGATTTTTATTAAAAAAAAATTTTTTTTTGCTTAGTTTTATAAATATTGATTTTATAACAAACACCATTGTACTAGTGATTATTTTCTATAAGGTTTTTTGTTGATGCATCATGAATTCTATATTTTTTGCTCTATTAACTTCATCTTTTCTCTTCCAGTAACTCTTATAGTGTTTGCTTGCAGCCTTGTTGGAAAAAAACACTATAAGAGTTTGCTTCCAACAAGGAAGCAAATCCTATAAGCATGTTAAAAAAAGAAAAAATAATAATTTGGGGCTTGATTTTGACCGCAGACAGATTTAAGAACTAATTAAAAATTTTGAAATTTTTTTTTTTTTTTAATTTCAACATACTCTCGACCCTATCCCTCAAAAATACGTAAAAAAAGAAATAAGGATGAAATAAATAAAGAAACTAAATACTAAAGTAATAAGTCAAGAAATATTGAATATTTTCAAAGAATAAGTTTAAGGGTTCACTTTATCCATAAACCTTGGGGTAAAGTGAACTACAATATTTATTTTATGTTTTAATCTTTATTTTAATTTTATTTTTTATTTTTATAATCTTTTAAATTTTTCATCCTCTATCTTTATAATGATTTTATTATCATTATTTTCTTTTGGCATTAACTTTTTTTTTACTATTTCCATTACGATTTTCATGGTTTTGGGCATTTTTGTTATTGCTAAAGTTTTTGTTTAAAGAATCATTTCTTGAACCAATAATAGCAATATATATATATATATATATATATATATATATATATATATATATATATATATATATATATATATATATATATATATATATATATATATATATATATATATATATATACACAAATAGTATTGCGTACTATTGTAAGCAATCTGACGTCATACTGAAATAGCCTGCTGCTGGAGGCTTTAGTATATACATCGACTGACAAATAACCTGACTCGCAGTGGAGTGTTGCTACATCAACTGAGGGTTTGGGATGGGGAATGGATATATATATATGGGGATGGATATATATATATGGGGATGGATATATATATATATATATATATATATATATATATATATATATATATATATATATATATATATATATATATATATATATATATATATATATCTGTGTGTGTGTGTGTGTATATATTAGGGTTATAATTTTTTGACTTTTTTTAAAAAAAATTAGTTTTCTGTGTCATAATAAATCGATGAACACTTATTAGAAAACATTGAAAACATGTTCAATTCCTCTCAGTTGTAAAAAAAGGTTTTTTTACAATTCAAATTACGTTTTGTCATTTATTTAATCTTGTTGGAACCTTCGAGAACAATTTAAAACATTCTAGAACAATTTAGAACATTCTGGAATATTCTAGAACATTTTAGACTATATATAGTTGCTCATCCAATTTTATAGCTATTAGAATACAGAAGCAACACATAGCGTCGTACAAGCCTAGCGATAGTAGCATTCAGAAGAACAAAGATGTCTGGACCAATAATCTGGTAAAATTTGAAGACATAAAAGAAGAATGGTCCCTTTAGAAAAATATTCACTGGAAGAAAAGTGCAGAATGCCTCTCCAAAAGCAAATTATCGGACGCTACCATTTAATTGCATCAAAAATCAAAGGAAGAAAGGAGCGAATAGCGGAAATTTTCAAATTAGTCACCAAATTGTGGAAGAATAAACTGAATTTTCCTCATGTATCTGATCAAGTTATACGAGCAAAACTTGATAAAATATAGAAATGTTATGATGAATGTTTCAAGCAAAACATTCATCATAACAGCTTCAAAAATTTCATCAAGGAGAAGCTTCAAACCCTTTGATGAAATTTTTGATATTACTAAAGTGGATGGAGCATGGTTATCTTCCGAGGACAAGCGATTGTACCATCTCCAAGTGGAAAGCAAAACGAACAATGGGATACTTTACAGGCCAAGCTGCCAGTAAAGAAACGATCCATCCCTCTAAAAGACAAAAACTTTCTATTGAGTCATCTAACTCATCATCTTACTATCCTGGTTTTAGTGATTCTGACTCAGAAGCTGACGAGAGTGAATATGAAAACAATGAAGAACAAGATAAGACAACTCCTACACCAACCGGAAAACGCAACTTAGTGATCTCCACTAGAGTATCAACAAACAAAGCTACTAACATATGCAAGCAATTGGCTCGTGAAGGCATTGACATCCCAACTCCATGTCAATCAGGTATTTACAAGTCAACAATCAAAGAGGCAATCAAGCTGATGGAATAAATGATTGATAGGTTGCATATGGAAAGTTCGTTCTTATACTTTGATGGCAAGCACATCGACAGAATGGATTCTTAAGTAGTTGTCCTTAAAAATGAAAGAAGAGAAATCAAATTGGATGTCCTTGGCTTGGTAGATGGCAGGGCTTTAATTATTGCTCAAGGAATTTCTAAAGTCCTCGATGAATTTCACCTGTGGAATTCAATACAGATGATTGTTGCAGATACCACCAGCCTTAACGCTGAAAAAAAGAATGGTGTTGTTGTAATATTGCAACGAATGTTCACAGAGAAACGCATCAACAAACCTCAGTTTATCAGTTGTCAACACCATGTATTAGATAGAATCTTTTGTTTGGTGATGGATGAAGAACTTGGAAGTAAAACACAATCGCTAAACATCGAATATTCATTTGTATCTTAACTGTTGAAGGAGTACGAACAACTGAAAACACAGTTTGATAACGGAACAGACGTAATACTCGAAACACCAGACTGGAGAGATGATATGAAATTTTTGTTTTATTTCAGTGGAGTGTTCCGATTTTTTGAGGAAAAGAGACATTTTCCATTCATCAGGTTTCAGAAAATACACAACATCAGCAATGCCAGGTGGAACTCCAGAGCTATACTAGCGATCCTGGCCTTCATTTTAATTCCTTCAACATGGACAGTTCTGCAGAGAGTTTGTCGATTTATATCATATGGCTGGGCAGACCGTTTGTTTACAGACCAACTGTACAACGAAAACGACTTTAATAACTTGGCTGAAATATTGAATCCATACAAAAAGGCTTTGAGCTTTTTGAAAAATCACTAGGACGAGAGCCATCCATACTACAGATACCCAGAAGTAATCAATGCGCAGAGCGCGCAATCAAAGTAATGGAGGAAATTTATTCATCATGCAAAAATAAAGACAAATTGCACCTTCGTTTCCTTCTGTGCAACGAGCAAGAGCAAGGTCATTGTTGAAAATTTATTGTATTACATGACTATGACATTCTAAATATATTTGAATACAGAGTAGTACATATGTCAAAATCGATTTTTCAATGGCGGGGTGAACTTTTTTGAAAAGATATGCAAATAATAGTTTATTTCATACTTTTTAGGTAAAAGTTCATCAAACTACAGTACAGGAGCATGGGGTTGATAAAAAGTCGTAACCCTAGTGTATGTGTATATATAATATATATATATATATATATATATATATATATATATATATATATATATATATATATATATATATATATATATATATATATAATATATTAGAAATTAGTAAAAACACTTATCTAATTTTTGTCTTCTACAATTTTTTCATCAGTAATATAGGGAAATTTTTAATTTTATATTAATTCTATTTATCAAACATGGGATCATACAAATATCCAAATATAGCAGAAGAACCAAAACTTTCCATTGATAAATTTGTATTCTTACTTTTTTATTTTGCAGTTTCTTTACATACAGCAAATACATCTTTTATTAGTTTTATAAGAACACAAACCTACCTTAAGGAAAACTGAATTTGGCATGTGTTTATGAACCAAATCCATTACAACACAACATAAAATTGTACAATACAACAACATACATATATCTTGTATATTCACAAATATCATTCAATAACATACATATATCTTGTATATACACAAATATAATTCAACAACATACATATTTGTTAGATTTTTGTGGCAATACATTCTCTACCTATATGTATAATATTAATAATAAAAATAATAATAATTTTAGGAATCGCCACTTCCTGTTGATTCTTCTATGTTTCCAACGTGGCCAGCAAAAAGTGAATTGGGGCATAAAGCTATGAAGAAAAATGCAAGCCCCAAACCTCCTGAAGGCGGTCAGTTTAATGAAAAATTGGTAAGTACATATTTTTCTTTCGTTATTACGTTTAAATCGGATTTAGTTGATTTATTTTATAATCATTTCAGGGAGAAGATAGTGGTTTTCAAATGAACTCAGCTACAAAAGGTTCCGCTGCCAAAGGAATGGGATTTAGTCTTAAATTTTAAACTATCGGCTAACAGAATCTTTTTTGTTTATTTATGAAGAAACTTTATAAGACATTTTTAACTTATTAATTTAAGAAAAGGCATAATTTTCGACACTTTTTTCTTTCTTCTTATGAAGTTTTTGTCTCCCACTTCAACTTTTTTTAAATAGTTTAAAGTAAATTAACACATCGGATTACTAAATTTTCCATATACTTATCTGAAGATAATGGTTTACATTTTATCTACTACATAGTTAACAAAATATGCTTTTAAGCATGACAACGAGAATGACTTTCGTTCTAAAAGTTTAATAGCGTGGAAATGTTGTTTTTTATTAAATTTTGTTTAAAAAAAAACAACATCGTTAACATCGCAAAACTGTTTATGAAAATAATTATGTTTTACTTGTAAACGCTAATAAACTACCAAAATATTTATAAACTACCAGTCACAAAATAATTGCTTGCGAAAAGATTAGTCATTAAGTTGTTATCTTATTTTTGTTGTGATCCGCCGGTTCTTAGAGCAAGCTTATTATAGTCTACACTGACTAGACTTCCTCAATCTGTCATGAGTTTCTCATTAACAGTTATTAGGTATTATGAATTTTTGTCCTGGAAATCGATTAGGGGTCATCTATAAAGTATGTCACGCTAAATTTTAAATAGAAAAAGGTGATCATTAGCTCTTTTGCGCAGAAACCTTTAAAGTATTGTAGCCCCTTGTTCACTATGTTCACTCCTCGCATTATATACTTTCTTAAAAATAACTTGTTTTTCCATAAATTAAAGACGAAAAAGTATTAATTATGAGGAGGTGAGTATATTGTAAAAGTGATACTGGACAATTAGCTAATTGAAAAAGTAGTAAAAAATACTAAAAACTTAAAAAGTATTAAAAAGTATTAGAAGTGCAATAACAAAAAAATTAATATGAAAGTGAAAAGTTTTTTTTTACTTTTAAATAAATAATGAGACGCGTGTTAGGAAATAAAAATTGAAAAAATTCTCGCAATCTATACGTTTATCGGATAGTATTTTTAATTTTGGTTTCAAATATGCAACCCATTTTTCGCCGTCACACAAGTTGTAAAAGATATTTGGGTTCAAATTAGCATTTGGGGTAGAATACTTCATCGGCAAAAAATTATTCAAAAGTATGTCAACCGCGGTATCAAAAGAAGCGTATTTTCATAGAGATTTTACAACAGATTTGAACCTAAATACCTTTTACACTTGACTTGATGATGAAAAATGGGATGCGTATTAGGGTGGAGTAAAAATAATTTTTTTCTGAAATGCAACTATTCTCCCTGATTTTATATTAGTTATATCAAAAATAAAAAATGAGACCAAGATAAGCAAAGTTGGACAAGAATTACCCAATGCAACAATTTTTGGATAATATTACTAAATATTGAGAGCAATCGTAAAAATTGAATATTAAGTATATATTTAAATCCATCCACTACTCTGAGTTTTAATACAAATCATATTTCTAAATGTTAGTTATGGTATTGAGTTGAAATTAATAGTATTACTATTAAATTAGTAATATTTAATAATAATAGAACTATATTATAAAATAGAGTTAGTAATAATATAAATTATTCGAATATGGTTTGTGTTGAAACTACGAGTAGATAATGGATTAAATGCGTATTCAACTTTTTCTGTTTAAAAATTTTTTGATATATTTTAAGTTGTTAATTATTTTATTGTAAGTTGTTTTATAGTTTGAACTCAGTTTCCGGTTAGCCTTATAATATAACTCGTTTTGAAAAAAAACTTGTTTTTTAAATATTATTAGCATAACGTTATTTTACTATATTTCGTAAAATGTTTTTCATACTTTTTTAAATTGTTAAAACTATGTATGTTTCTATGTATGTATGTTTCTATGTATGTATGTTTCTATGTATGTTTCTATGTATGCTTCTATGTATGTTTCTATGTATGTTTCTATGTACAGCTTAATATTTTGCTATGCTTATTAATATTTTGACAATATTAATACTTCGCTAATTATATTTCAGTAAATAGAATGTTAAGATTAAAAAAACAATAAACTATTCATTGGGTATAACCAGGGCTGTCCCGAAGGGGGGTGTCGGGGGTGTCTCACCCTCCGACACCTATAGTTGGCAAATTGCAAATATTGAGAACCTTTTTTTTTTCAAAGCATTTGAGTTGGCACATTGAGCAAGTTTAAACTATAGTTGGCAAATTACAAATATGAAGGACTCTTTTTTTTTTTGTATCCCTAGTTGGCAAAAAAATACATACATCCCCTCCCCTCACCATGAAAAATCTCTTCGGGACGGCCCTCGGTATAACCATTTTCTGAGGTGAAACTACCAACGGGACTAGATTTGATGCGATATATGGAGTATTTGTAAGCAACCTGTACTGCATACCATTTCTCATATAATAGTACAATGAAATATATATCATAATTTTACAGAATTTTCTGAAAAGACCGAAAGAAAAAAAATTAATAAAGCAAATTTAACAGTAACATACACAATTTGTCATCATTTACATCCTTGACAAAGAGAGTTGTTAACTTTTTTAAGCAAAGCAAAAAACTCAAACTGCTGACAGAGAAGTTAAAAAAAAAAAAAAAAAAAAAACTCTATAAGGACACTCTAGCCAAACTGATTGATATATCTGCTTGCTAATCTAAAAATCTTAGGTAAGTAGCCTCCTCGTCTGTAGTGGCCTTCTCGGCCTTGAGGAGGTGAGTTAAAATTAAAAAAAAAAAACGTTTACAGAGAGCTAGAGAATAAAAAAGTATGAAAGTTATTCAAACAAGTGTGGAGCAATTCAAAGTTCCAACTCTCAGTTTTATGGCACAGATTATGTGGGACTTGATTGATTGGAATAATTCACAGAGGGCAGAGCCACCACTAACAATACAGCTCACTGATGAGCATTTGAAAGAAGATTACATTCAACTTAGTAATCTTTTGAAAAAGTTACCGCGTCACACGGAAGCTGTAGAACATTGTGTAAAGATGGTGAGGGTTTCTGCTTTCTGCAATCTATAAAGAATTTGTTTAACGCCAAAGCACGTTATAACATTATTTTGTACAATTTTGGCTCTATGCATGTTAATATTTGGAAGTAAATGCACCTGTTCAATTCTAAACTTACTTCAAAGTAATAGATAGATAGAAAAATACTACAAATTATAACTTTGCCTAACTTGTCACAAATTGCTGCAGGGGTTACCCTCTTGTCTGTTTTTGTTCATCTTAGTAATATTTTTTTAGTTTTCTTATAAATAATATAGAAATTAGGGAGAATAATAAATTTCTAAAAAAAGTTTTTTTCGCTCCACTCGATCGCGTATTTGAAATCAAAATGAGAAATGCTGTAGAAAAAACGTATTGTTTTTTGTATAGCATTTCTCATTTTGTATTGATATAACTATTGAATAATGAAAACACGCGTCTCACTATTCAATCATATCAAAGATATTTTGTTAGCCAGTGTAATCATAGTCTAATAAATAAAAAAAATATTACATAACAGTTATGTAATTACAATGATATATAACCATTCATATAAAAACGTTAAAAATAACTCATAACAAATAGTTACACATATAAAAGTAATTAAAAGTAAATACTTTCTCAGCGTGATTAAAAAGTTCAAATTCCTTTACCATTGCCAAACCTCTACATTTAAAAGTTATTCTAAATCCCAAGAACACCGCACTCTTCCATCCTGGCTTTTTCTCGTTTGCTTACAAACAGCTTCCCTCACTTTTTCATGCAATCAATTTTATTGATAATATATTGTAACAAGTTTAAAGTAAGAATAAAAATAAACGCCTAATGACGTACTTCCTATTACCAATTTAATTTATAGATGCGATGTTGATAGATGATGTCATTTGATAGATGATGTCATTTGATAGATGATGTCATTTCCTTCTATTAAATCAAAATAACAGTGTTGATGTAAAAATTTTATTTTAGCAGACAAGACTTTCTTTTATATTTTTATGTGAAAAATACAATTTTTATAAAATAGTTTTCTTTTTCACATTTTGTTAGATGCAGATTTTTTGCTTTATAAAATTTCTATGTAAAAAACGGGAAAGAAGGATGAGGCACACACTCCTCAGTGTTGTCGAACACGACAATGTCTTTATTTTTTGTTTGTTTTAAATTGAAAATCCTAGTTTTTACCAACGAAATGGTTCATTTTTCAATAAAGAGCAAAACAAGATGTTATTTTGATAGTTAGATTACATCCCAACTGACCGATAGATTGAAACTTTTCCCACTCTCAATTTTTCTACGAATGTTGCTATTTATTATGTTTTATTTTATTTTTAATGTGAAAAAGTTTCGTCTCAATTCATTAGTTAGTAACGAAAAACAAATAAGGTTTCAATTCGATAGGTGACATAATTTTCGTATTTAATATCTATATTTTTTTACGTTACGTTCGATTTTAATTGATTACACTTTTACAATATACGATACGAAATAACATTTTTTATGTTATGTTACTTTTCGAATGACTTTCAGTACTTAATTGTGATCTTTAAAATCTCAAAAATACCTCTTTAAGTAATTAATTTATCATTTTTTCTATTTAAAATGCTATTTATGAATGCGTTAATTCAAAATGCGCTTAAGTCAAGGCTGATAGGCTCAATTAGTCGGTCGCCAAAGAAGATTTTTGCATCATCACTTGCACCCACTTTATCTATCTATTTATCTATCTATTTATCTATCCGTTGGATAGCATTATTTTCCCAAATACAGTGGTTAGACAAAAAATGTTACACATTTATAACATATTATTTATTTTCTCTGTTGTGTTTGGCTCGTTTTTGTAATAAATTTTTTAACTATAGACTTTTCTTGATGAGCATTAACCCAGTGGGCACCGGACCAAAAAAAGACGTCTTTTGAACGCTCAAAAGACGTCCAAAACGTTCAAAAGACGTTCAAAAGACGTCTTTTTTACGTCCGTGTCCACTGGGAATAATTAGAATAATTTCAGAATAAATTAAAACTACAAATTAATGTATTTCAAAAATTTTAAATTATTTTCTAGTTAACACTTTTAAGAGAAATCATTATAAAAACTTTATAATGATGTTATTTAGATGGTCTATTATTTAGGTATTATATTAGGGGGTAGTAAAAGAGTTTTAAATTTTATATATAAAAAAAGATATGTTTTTTTAAACATTAGGAAGACCTGAAATAAAAAAGGTTGTTTAGACGTAATAAGAGTTGTTAACAAGGCCAATAACAATAATAAAATGGCCAAAGCCACATAACAAGACCAGGGACTTATTTTGTCAGCCAAGGTCAAGGGTTAAAAACATTGCCAGAATTATTAAATAGAACAAATATAGCATTTTTTTGTTTTAGTTTTTAAAATTAATCTACTTTCTGTAATGATTCGATATTATAATGGCTTTTTTTTAATGTAGTTTTTTTACATTAAAACTCGGGGAGGTTAATTAACTGCACCAAGCGTATAAAACGCAATTAAAATAAATAAACAAACGAGTATATAAACGTAAATAAAAAATATATATCTAACCTTAACATTAAAATTACATTTCACCTTAAGCGCATTTAGTAAGAAACGTGGTTAATGAAGTTAACAAAATTTGAATGCAGATTTTTTTATATCAATTTGTATTAGATTAATTATCTAGCAGAGGAGTCTAGTATATGCAAAGAAACACTTATCCGAGTTTTCTTCTCGGTGAAAAAAAAAACTTTAAATAAGATGAAGATTTAGCATAATTTCGTAATATAGAACATTTTGAAAGACGTTTTAGTTCAAAAGTTAATAATTGATTAGGTTGGATATCTTCTCTAGTTTTATTGTATTTTTAATTGGCGTTACATTAAAAAAATACATTTGTATAGTCTGAAAAAAAATAAGTAATGCGAGTATTTACTTTAAAGCCACAGTAGTATACATTACATTGCTTTAAGAATAGATTATTTGTATGATTATATTGTTTATTGTGTCGTTTCTAATTAAGTATAATTATTTGATCATTTAAAACAAGCAATTAAGTTTTACTATGAATAACTTATTTTTAGAAAAATTATAGAACATGATAAAAACTCAGGTATAGTAAAAAAAAAAAAAAAAGTTTGAAGCACTGCTTGGTTTAAAATCTAAATTTAATTATTGAATTATATTTAAAAATTAGTTTTATTAGAATTATATTTAACAATTCTCTTATTATCTTAAAATAAAAAATGACTTAATATAATACTGAATTTGAAATTGATATTTTGTATGCTTATTAGCTTGAACATTAATATTTTACGACATAAATAATTTAGTAGTTCTACAGAAAAATTATTTGTGTTTTAAGATTTTTCTTTTTTCTTTTTTGTTTTTGTTTTGTTTTGTTATGTTTGTTTACATTTTAGATTAAAAGCAAAATGGGTTTTATTATTGCTGCCGTTGTTCTTATTCTTATAACATTAAGCATTGCTGTTGGCTTGGCTGGTTTAATTATAGGCTGCGCTGGAAGATCGTGGTTAAAAACTCCGTTCTGGGATCAAGGATTATGGAGTTTGGATGCTTTTGGTGAAACGTTACAAAGAAACAATATTTTTCGTTTTAAAAATTCTGACGGTAAGAACAATAATTGCTGTGTATTTTATCAAATAAGTTTACTAAATATAATTTTGACTTAAGTAAAAATAATAAGCCAAAGAAATGTGTGAAATGTTTAAAATAAATTTCTCTACTTAAGAAAATAAGATTATTTGCTAACGCGAAAAATTATATTAAAAAGTCAAAGGTTTGTTAAATATTGTACATGTTGATTTTCAAATATATTCTTAATTTTTATGCTTAATCAAATAAATTATACATTTTTAACTTAACATGTTAGCCATATTCAACATGTCAGCCAAATTCATTAAAACTGCATTTTTTTTAAAGTTGAGTTGAAAAACTAAAACTGGATACAGATCTGAAAAAATAAATGTTGAATCTAGTTTGAAGCTAGCCCTGGGTTTTTGAAATATCAAAAAAAAAAAAAAAAAAGAAAGGTTTTAATGAATTTAACCTTTTTTCTATCAGAGAAATTTTTAGTGGACAAAACTGTTATCTACTTTTGCAATTTTATCATTAAGATTTAATTTGAAAGGAAAAAAAGATCTATACTCGATGTTTGATTATTTAAATCATCGTTATTTTTATCATCGTTACTTTTTTCCAAAAAAAAAACCGACGATGATAAGAATAATTAAATTTGTTAAACTTCAAAATTAGTAAAAGCAAATAATTTGGGTAACTACAAAAACAATAACGTGAAACTTTAGTTCCAAGAATATCATCTGTAACAGTAGAGTGACCCTTCATATCTTGCACATTAATGCATATTTTGAAAATGCAACACTTATTCAAAAACAATAAATATATCAAAATAATAAAAAAAGTATATTAATTTATGGCTTTTCATTGAGTGCTTTTACTCTCATATACTTATCTTTTTAAAAGAGTATTTTTTTCAAAAAATAAGATTTAGATTTTTTTTCACTCTATTTAAAAGTAGTTACATTTAGAGTGGTGTATATTAACGTGCTTTACATTTTATATTAAGCTGGGTGAATTAAAAAAAAGCAAATCCTTTTACTCAGTAATTGGTCAGCTTTACCTGAATAAAAGCTTAATCAAACTTTTATTCACGTAAGGGGCCATCCATAAAGGACGTCACCATTTTTTAGCCAATTTTTGATCCCCTCCGCCCCCCCCCTTTGTCACCGGTTGTCCTTTTTCCCTATACCCCTCTTGAAAAAGACGTCATAAAATCCTGAACCCCCCCCCTATTTTTAAAATTTATTTCATCTCGCAATGATGTTTGAATCTGCTGCTACACCTTTGAAAAATAAAATTAAAAATATTATCATACATTATCTTCTTAAAAACACATGTTTACGTAGTTTCCCATGTTAATTAAAATAAAATAAAAAATCTATAAGGTGACGTCCTTTTCTGACAACCTCCCCCCCTCCCTTTGTCCTTTTTAACTCGACTCCCTCCCCCCTATTTAGATGACGTCCTTTATGGATGGCCCCTAAAGCTGAAAATTACTCAGCTTTTTGGAGTAAATGGCTTAGCTTTACGTGAATAAAAACTTGACAGAGTTTGCTAAAATTTTTATTCACGTAAAACTGACCAATTACTCGAAAAACTCTGAGTAAAAGCAATTGCTTTTTTTTATTCACCCGGCCTTTTATCTTAATAACGATAGTCAGGCGCGAATCTAACGTTTTTTGATGTTTGAGTTTTCTAACTTCCAGACATTGAACAAACTCCAAAAAATAAATTATGCAATGTTTATACTTATATCAAATAAGGATGGTTTGTAAAAAATTACGATGATTGAAGTCTGGGAACAAAAGACCTTAGAGTTTTGGCCAAAACCAAACAAGAGAGCAACATGTTGATAAAATATTTTTTTACTATTTTTAAGTAAATTTAAATTCATCGATAAGTTCTAAATTTCACACAATAATCTCTTAGTGTTCAAAAATTATGACTATACAAAGTTTGAACCCTATTTATTTTATTTTATTTGAGGGGGTTAAAATTTTATAAGGTCATAATTTTTGAACGCTAAGAGGTTTTTGTACGAAATTTAGAATTTATCGATGAATATAAATTTATTTATAAATAGTAAAAAAATGTTTTATTACCTTGTTGCTCTCTTGTTTGGGCCAGTTGTGGTCAAAATTTTAGGGCTTTTTTGTTTCAAGACTTCCAAACATCACAACAAAACACCCTTATTTGACATAAGTATAAGCATATAAAACTGTGGGGTTTGTTCCATGTTCGGAAGTTAGGTATTTCAAACATTAAATAGTGCTAGATGGTATTGTGGTACCAATTATCCTCCACCAGCTAATTGCCTTGTGGAGGCCACATTACCAAGGCCCGCAAAGGCAAATTAAACTCCTTAATGAGCGTCATTATCTGCTCTACAGACCAAGAGTAAAGTGAGTTTGGGAAGAACGAAGGTATATTAGAGTAAAAGACAGAAGAATTCGTGTTAGAAAGATAGCATAGAGAAAGCAGACACGAATTGCACACGATGTTAGAAGATGCAAGATTACTATTAGTCATGCCGAAAAAGCCTTACAGAGTTCACTTGAACTCTTCATCAAGTAACTTTGTCGTTTGTTTAAATAGTACTAGAACCGCCCAATATATTGTATTTCTATAGCATACATACACATTTTGAGTGGTCTATATTAATGAGCCTTACTTTTTATAATATCTTGATAACGGTTTTATATTTCTATGGCATACATAACATTGTGGTTTGGACAGATTTTCATAATATTTTATTAATATATGACTATAAAAAAACATATAAGCTATTTACAACCGGGTACTTTTCTAGTGTTGATTTGTTTTGCACACTAAAACTGATTACTTTTACATGTAACATATATAATATTCTACATATAAAAATATTTGTGCATAATCCACTATATATTTATATGACTACTATATGCTACTATAACTACATTATACTATTACTACTGTCAACAGGGCCGCCGAGAGGAGGGGCGCACCGGGACAGTTTACTACTACTACTGTCAAAAAATAGTAGTCAAAAAAGGTAGCTTGAAAAAATCCCCCGGGAAAAAATCCCTTTGGAAAAAATCCCCGAGAAAAAACCCCCCCCGAGAAAAAATCCCCCCGGAAAATATCCCCCCATCCTCAAAAAAAGAAAAAAATTTTAATTAAAAATTATTAATAAAATAGTTATATTTATTTATTTAAAATAGTTTTAGAAAATACTTCATTTTTCATTTTATGCGCTATTCCTCGGTTGTCGGTAAAATACGACTGCGCACCGCGAGCTGCGATAAGGTAAAATACGAACTTTTTTGCAAAACAAAACATATTTTAAAGAACATTATTTTTATGATAAAAATAATAATAAAAAAAACTCTCTAACTCTTAATTATCTATTTTAAAGCTTTATTTAGAATAAAACTTTTCATTTTTTAACTGTAAAACATGCGCGGAGTGTTGCAACATCGACTATCTTGTAGCCTGGCTCGCAACGGAGTGCTGCTACATCGACTGACAAATAGCCTAACTCGCAACAGAGTGCTGCTACATCGACTAAGGGTTTGGTTTGGGCAGGCAGTCTATCAAATAATTAAAAAAAATATATATACTTTCATATTGTATTCGTCTAGTTTCACTTAATTTCTTTTTATTTTTCATTAAATAATTTTTTGCTTAAAAGTCCTTCAAATATACTGCTAAATTAACTACGATGGTTCGCAAAAAAGGTCACATTTTACCAGTTCGCAGTTTGTCAGGGTTAGGGTTAGGGTTTCACATTCGCTACCTTAGAGGAATAGCCCATAACTTGACATTTTGGTGAAAAATGAAGTATTTGATATAAATATTTAAAATAAATAAAGAAATAAACATAACTACATATTGATAATTTTTGAGTTAAAAAAAATTTTTTTTTAGGGGGATATTTTCCGGGGGGATTTTTTCTCGGTAGGGATTTTTCCGGGGGGATTTTTTTTCTGGGGGATTTTATCTGGGGGGATTTTTTCTCGGGGGGCTTTTTACCCGGGGGATTTTTTCCTAGAACCGTCAAAAAATTAGTGGTCATAATTAAGTAGAAAATTTAGTAATCAAAATTTTAACTTGTGCATAACTTATAACAAAATCGTCGTTTGTTTTATAAATTAGTTTTAATCGGTTTGACAACTTTTTACTCTTCATTGAAGTAATAATTTTTTTTAGTTGTTATTCAATTTTGTTTGTAATCATCATTATTTAAACCGAAACTAATTAATGATAAAGCCAAATTTTCTGTTTCTACAATCTTCTACTTGTAAGATTTGGCTCAAAATTTTGTGTTTTTTAAATATTAGATAACTTTTAATGTGTTTGTAAAAATTTAAATTGAAAGCACAGTAATTGATGCAAGTTATAAATTTCAAATTATTTAAGTGAAGCCCCAAACAACACAATATGTTCGGCCACCGAAGAGACAACATTGGCCTAACAACTCCAACGTTGTTCTGTCGTAGACCTGTAGTGTACATATGTAGTGTGCTGGTTGAGTATTTAGTGAACAACCAAAATCCATAATTTCAAATTGTTCAGTACTTATTTTTACAATAGAAAATAATAAAAAATATAAATCATTTGTAGAAACTTTTTACCGTTAAAAAGTTTCTACAAATGATTCAAGCCAATGGTTCCAAATACGCATCTTGCAATATTTACAATGTTGTTCAGTACACAAAAACATTTTATGTACTGGACAATCCGAAACTTTAATCAATTAGCTTTTAACTCATTTAGCAACTTAGCAACCAGAATTTACTCAAAAAACAGAAAGTATTTTATTGACAACTAATTAAACTAGAAAAATACATTAGATCAAAGTGGCATTAGGCTGGAATGTCACAGTCTAGAATTCTAGATTGACAGTAATTTGACAGTAATTAAAAAATTGATTCAAACGCAAAAAAGATCTAAAGTTTCATAGGTATTATTTAAAACGATACTACCGCACATCTTCAATATAAAAAGTTTTCAATGAAAAGTATGACAGAAAGTTTGCCGGAACAGATTCC